GAACAAATATGTCGAGCTACGCAATCAACACCACACTAACGAGCCGGCAATGCGTATCCCAGACAACACTTTCACTCTGTATTGGCACTCTCCTTCATGTAAAATTAGCCTCTGCCTGATAGTATGGAATACATCTTCTGGCAATTGCAAAGCAGAAGACTTACGTGCAGGTAAAACAAAAGAAGCGAAAAGTATGCGTCAAGGGAACTTCGTCAGGGGATGGCATATATCAGCTACCACTTAATTTGGACATGGTTGCATAATTCCACAAGCAATTTGAATTGTAAAAATCTATTTGTCTCCAAACAAAAAAACACATTTTAATTTTCCAGTGTTTGTTAACTATTTCAGATGCAATATATTGCGTAGCAGTCATACTGCATGAACTATATGCTTCATTATTGAGGCTTGACACACTCTGATTAGTGACATGCCAGTAGGATGTGCTAAGCTGTATGGCACACTATATATATATATATATATATATGTAAGCTATTCATTAAATAAACAGCTCTAACCAGTAAAACAATAGCTTAAACAATGCGTTGTGTCTATCATTGAAGACATTTAACTGTGAATTTCTGAAAAATATAACTCTGCCAGGCGTGTCGTCCTATATAAGGTAAGGGGCATTGTTTTTGTCAAGAAAAACAAGTCGCAAGAGCTCAGCAAGGACAGCGACAGCAAATCAAACCTTTTTAACGTTGCCAAACGGGGCTTCCGCGGAGTTGACATCCTCTTTGTCTCAACTAGAGGAGTTACAGACGGCTTACGCGTGAGAACGTCAATACGTGCATGGCTGCGCCGTTCATAGATAAGTGAAACTGTTTATATTAACGCAAAATATGTGTAAGGACTAAAAATCTTGTTCAAGCCGGGATCAATCGTCAATATGTGTGGCAGATTTTTAGCATCCTTCTTCAGTCCTGTACTTTCATTCGACTTCAGTTTTGGCTTAATGTACTAGCGTCAATCTACCAAAAAATAGGTTACGGTAACTATGAATTGAGGAAACAGAACATATCAGGAAATCCAGATAAAATGAGACAATGGGATGATGCAAATTCGCTGGCCTACAAGCACTTTATCAAAGAACAGACAGGCGTGTGCTTGTCGTCAATCCTTCCTTTGAATAGGCTATAATTCACTCCAGACCTTTTAATTTTCCATCTTAAGATTGGCACGAATTCAGCCGCTTACCGATCATGATCTGATAAAGGCCGACATAATGCAGATGGGTGTATTGTTTGGAATCCGTAAAGCCGCACAAAGTTGGCATTTTAGTACTCAGCCCCACGTTTCCAAACCGAGTATCAGAAAATTCACAGACTTCAGAGGTTGAACGAAAACTTATAAAAAATTAAAAAATGCTGTATTAGCAAACGATTGCAATATAGTAAAATAAAATCAAACTATTGTTTTGCATTATTTCGATGATTTAGCAGCACTTGATGAAATGTCCATTAGTGATTCCTGAATAAAAATCTGGAGGCTAACAGGGGAGGACTGACGCAAAAACATATTATGTAAACATAAAAGCAAATCCGCGAGTTCATGCAACAACACCCCTCCAACTAACGCTCACGCTCAATCAAATAATACGATAAAAAACAAATAGACATTTTGTGATAAGATAATCTCGTTACTATCTATAAGGAACATCTAAATAGCGGTGTGTTTAACAGCTGACGATATTCCCTCCCTGCTACGAACAGAACATAAGGCCCCCAGTCGAATAAATGTTTTTACGTAGTACCACTCACGTGCCCCATAAAGCAGTACATGTTAGCACTTGCATAACATACTTATAGCGGACGCATGCTTAACTTATTATATATAGAAAACAATATCGATAGGTTTTTATGCTTCTTCTATTGTTATAGCCTATTATGGATTCTACTATATAAATGAAATCTTCTTTATGAGTTATATCGTTGTACTTGGTTGATGTACACAGCGCGGATTTAACGGACATTTCGTATAGCGGTATGTGACTGATTATTCAGTCAATATTATTGTCTGCTTTAAACGAGCTCGCTTAATTTCGAATTATGCGTCAATAGCTTGAGTACATCATAGCATAGATTTACCTTTCTCTTTTTTAGCTCTCGACAGCATACCTAAAATCCTCGTATAACCAACCATTCGAAATGTTGTAATTATTATAGAAAGTCATTACTAAGCATCTAAAGTATTAAAAAATAAGGTCGTAATAGGCAAGCAAGAGGAGTTATGATGTCTCTTGTTGTGAATGGGTCTTGGCATAAGGTCCTTTGTTGGTTCGTGTGAGCATTAAGAGAGTGCTTCCCACTGTACGTAATTCAAAAGTAGTTAGTTGGTACCAAAAAACATAATCGTGAAGGCGTACATCAAAGAGCGAGATGCCACGTTAACTTAAAATGAACTGTTCAGTAGTCACGAGATGCGTATAGTTGGACTGGGGACTTGCAATGTAGGCTAAAGCCGATAGTAAAATAATTATCTGAAATGATAATATATTGTTTAAACTGATCGATAACTGAGATCGTGTGTTTACGTCGCCTTGTTTTATTGAGGACGTAATTACGTAGTTACTAAGCGTAACTAGATACCGGAATGATGTTGCTTTTTCTGCAATATTAATTTCTAATTTGTTGCTAATGTACTCAAACTGGCGTCAGTTTCCTTTTGAAGCCAATCTGGCCAGTTACAATAGACCGAAGAGCTTTCTAGAGTTTATTGTATATATTTATTCTAGAGTTCACTAAGCTTTTTTTAGCTGCTCCGAGGTGATTTACGTCTTTAAAATGATTTGCTGCGTTATAGGCGTCAGATACAGGTGGTGCCAAGTGAGACAGTTAATTGAAACCTATAGCTTTAAGTACAAATAACAGGCTTGAAGAAAGCCGTAGCTGGCGAAATAAATCGTAACACATCGACTTTTTCTGTAATCAACAAGTAGCCTGCAAAAATAACATATTCTAAAAAAAAGAGTATTGAAACTCAGCTCTAGGGCCATCAAATGCGTCACTGGTCTGATCGGGGTTAGCGTTATTCAACGGTGGCTCCACTCCAAGATTCGCACCTACAATTCCTTCCGCACTCTGCTCCAAATATACACGCAGTCGTGTGTAATTCACGTTTCATCATCATGATTCATGTGTAATCACGCAATGACAAAGGGGGTGACATGACATAATACGATTTCACAAAAGTAAAAAAAAAAAGATCGAAAACTATTTATCTTATGCCTTTGTTATCTCGCCAACGGTGTAATCATTTAGCTAATATATAGCTCCTTTATTTAACCTGAACCTGCAGTACAAACGTACAAGTAGACCAATTCGCCGGGATCGTTTATGAAGTGATTGTTTCGGTTTGCCGAAATCTTGTTTAGTTGTGACACGATTGCTTTCTGTCCAAAAGAATGTAGCAAAATTATTTTTAGAAAATCAGCTTAAAAATATAGTAGAAAAAAGCGAAGGTAAAGAAACAGTCAGCTAGTGTGTCTCTATCTAACCTTACAGAAAACAAGGTTTGAAAGGCGTATAGAGCCAAACGCTGACCTTGACAATTTACTTAAGCGTGACGTTCAATCGATGCCACGCGAGAAAAAGGTACTCAATTTTAAAGTAAATAATGCTCGATAATGAAAATCAATTTATTCAATGAAGGCATCACACTTATAACGAGGATAATTAGTAAAATGTTTATCGACTATATAATTAATGTGTTTTGAACAATTACAAGACAATGCTGTGCTTTTAGATAGTGAAAATACTCGCGCTTCTATCTATAGACATGTCAGTAGCGCGGACATACGATTAACCCATCTTTTCGTTACAGCTCCACCGAACACCTTCACTGTGTGTTTAGTTGCGTTGGCTTAATCGCTCGCATCATTGTAGAACTTGTGTGTTGGTAGTTGACAGTGCTGCCGTCATATTGCGCAAATCTCTACTGGTAAGCTTGCGTCGAACACTTTCGGAACAGATTTGTGTCTCAGGTGCTTGTAGCGTATGTCAAACAAACAACGAAATGATATAGTTTCACAGTCATTCGTTAGTAGCAGGTGAAATATGTTTTACGCGCAAAAACTCGTTTTTGTATTTACCTATTTGTGCGCCATTGCTACTGATATGGAAATGCCCAGTAAAAACTGTTTAGCTGCATAATTGATGAGATTTAGTTACATTGAGTACGTGAGAGAACATAAGAATCTATTAGTGTATTTTGTAGCTTATTCATCTCAAACAGACTGAAACGCGGTAAGACTGTTAAGGGATTTTGTGTTTTTTTTTACTTTCAGTGCATATGTGTCCTGACGCGCAGCGGTGTCCGCACCGTGTTGATGTTTTTATTTTATATATGTTTTATGTAATAATTATAACGCATTACTTCATTGACCTATATAACATGGCTCTAAAATTCGAACTATTTTTTGTATAACTCTTACAGAAATAGGCTGCCGCATTTGTGTGTGTGTGTGGAATTCTCTAAGTCGTTGTCTATACTGCTCACACATTGGCGGCGCGGTAATTTGGGCAGCTCTAATGCTAATAACATATAAGCGAGTGTGATTGTTTTACCGCCTTGCCGTTATGGATTCCTGCTAAAAAAATATGCAAGTTGTCGTGGTACTGTTAAATAAATCAGTGATGGCCCTTGTCGGCGCTTGTGATCCCGCCATGAGGATTATCAAGGAGGGTCACAAGCGCGGAGAATGAAAGTTGATTAGATATGATATGTACTCAGTAGAGCAGGCCATCTTTTGATCAGTGGCTACTCTGACCTGGCATAATGGGTTCTTGGCAACTATTCAAATAGCTTGAGATTGCAAAGGAAGGAGTATATAGCTGGATAGCGTATCGCCTGTAAATCGAACCCTCTGCAAGGTATAATTATAAGCCATCAAAATCGTTCTGTATGATTAACGTCTTGTCTTCGAGTGAATTGTGAATTGTGCCTACTATTCAGTTGTTAGTTTTCTCAGCTTGAGAGTGTTGTCAGCTTGGGTAAGTTTCATAGTACTTAGTGGTTGATGGGTTACTATGTGCTGCCGTTTGCTTCTCTCGACCCCGTTTCTCGAGCTCTAAGGATATAGCGGCATACAAAATGACAGAAATGAAAAGAATGTGAGAATGTCGTATTTTTCATTAAGCTTATAGTTATGAAAATATTTTGGTTTGTTGCGTTTTGTAGTAGGATGGTCCGTGATCTCCGTTTTTTTTGGAGCCATCATTTCAAATCTATTTTTTTTCATTTATAATAGAAAGTGTATTTACATTTTGTCACAAAAACGTTGTTATGATCTATATTATTGGACTAAATAATTTTTTTTTTCTACTAAAATGTACTGGAACTAGAATCAAGATGCAGCTGCAGCAAGCTCCGAAGGTGAAACTGTCCGACGGACATGAAATCCCCATCCTTGGACTTGGAACCTGGAAGGTAAAAAAAGCCTAATGTTTTTGCTTTAGTTTGGAATTTTACAGATATCTCTAACGTAGCCACGAAGTTCCTGTGACTTCCTCCCACAAAAGACAATGAATAAAATTTGCATTCAACGGTCAGCTAATTAAGGATAACTGTTCAAAGTATTTTTTTAATATTGGCCAGCATTAGCATGCCCACAGTAGTATTCACCATTAAAAGCACTGTGCTCCAATGAAAATTCTTTTTCAGTCGGCTCCTGGAGATGTATACAAGGCAGTGTGCCATGCCATCGATGTTGGATACAGGTAACATATTTGATTTAACGAAAATTAGCGTGTCGCTAAGACTGAAATAGGGCTGGACAGACAAATTAGGCAAACGGAACAAATCCAACTAGAAAGGGTCATGTACAATTAATAACATAGTATAACATTAACCGAAGGTTTTTTAAATATTTTACTTATTGCAAAGTTAAGGTTATTGTGCGCAATTTTGTTGCCATCGAGGCAGTGACAACCAAAATACCATTATTTTTTTATGTACCGTATATATTGAAAGATATTTGATTCTATTCTCAGGCACTTTGATTGCGCGTTGGCTTACCAAAACGAACATGAAGTCGGTAAAGCTATTCGGGATAAAATTGCCGCCGGACGCGTTAAGAGGGAGGACCTTTATGTTACTAGCAAGGTTAGATACCGTTCTCGTAACGGATCTTTATTTAGCCAATCATAATTTTTTTCACAATTCGCACAAGAAGATTAGATCTTTTGGTTGGTTGAGCTATTGTCGCATTACAAATTTCCAGAGTAGGGATCCAAACCACTAAAGAAGGCATTAAGCAAACTGTAAAGTTTCAACAAAAGGCGAGCTGTGGTTATAAAATAGTTAAAATTATTAATTATATATATATATATATATATATATATATTATAATAATAATTAAAATTATTTAATATAAAATATGATATGTTATAAAATGTGAATTTATTGAAGGCTTCTAGAGTACTTTGTTTTCTGCTCACAAGTAACCATGTAGAATAATTGATCGGAATTCAAACTTAAAGTCAGTCTGTGGTCGAAAAGAATATACAGCGTTTAACAGTTGATGTTTATCTTTAACATTTTAGTGTTGGAACACTTTCCATCCTCGAGAGTTGGTTAAGGAGTCCTTCAAGAAAACGATGACTGATCTGGATATCGGTTATCTCGATTTGTATTTGATTCACTGGCCTATGAGCTATCAGCACGGCGGTGAGACTTTCCCCAAAGATAAAGATGGAAATATTATTACCAGCGACGTGGACTTCGTAGAAACCTGGAAGGGAATGGAGGATGTAAGTTTAATTAGAAAATACAAGCAGTTCCTTCTGTGATGTCCAATTATTTGTAGAGTAATACAGCGTAAAGAGCATTTAAGATAAAATATTATGCAAAGCCCAAATTCGTAGGCCGAAAAATAAAACTGACCGCAAGACTCTGCATACATTACTTGGTGGCTCTAACCCATTTGACTAAATTGGTGCCACATTATAATTTCAAACCATATGATTTGTTTTAGTCAGTGTAGTATATATATGTATGCGTTTTCGTTGTTCAGTTGGAGCTGTTTCATTCGATTACACGGCGATGTTTAATTGAAGGAATAATGTAATTTCTATTCTGTGTCAGTTGTTTGCTGAAGGCAAAATCCGTAGCCTGGGACTTTCGAACTTCAACTCTGAACAGGTCGCACGCATTTTGGAGATTTGCAAGGTTAAGCCGGTGATGAATCAAGTTGAAGGACATCCCTATCTAATTCAAAACAAGTTGCGGGAGTTCTGTGAAGCACGTGGAATTAAGCTAACCGCATACTGTCCACTCGGCTCACCCGACCGGCCCTGGTTAGTAAGAATTGCCGATCTCGTCATCGGTGCCAAAGTGAACAGTTATATAAATCTAGTTTTAATCTATTTGTACGTATTCAGTGTAAATTTTGGTAAACACCATTAGTTTGGAAACAAATATTCGCGAATTCCTTATGACTTTACCGATTCGCGTGGACTGACCCTAACCCGATTATTGCTACCATTTTTGCAATACTGTCGCTGATCTTCTTAACAGGGCTAGTGCTGACGAGCCTCCTCTTCTCCACCATCCAAGACTTAAAGAAATTGGCTCTAAGTACGGCAAGACAGCAGCTGCTGTTCTCCTGCGATTCCAGATCGATCGTGGTGTAATCGTTATTCCGAAATCGGTAACACCCGAGCGAATCGAGGCTAACCTAAACGTCTTTGACTTCAAACTCAGCCCTGAAGATATTAAAGAAATCGAGACGTTTGATCGGGGCTACCGCTTCTGCAAACTTGAAAGTTTTAAGAACCACATTTACTATCCATTCAATATTCCATTTTAATAAGAAAAAAGCAATGAGCGGCAATTGTTGCGCCTAAAAAACTGCAAGATAGAGAAAGCATTTAATACGCCATAATATAATTTCACTGTTTGTTGATATACGTTATCCACTTTCGAAACTATTACGTCTTACGGGACTTCCAGTAGGGTTTCCATGGTTCGTTAATAAACAAAGATAGACTAATCAGAAGTACGTATTTTCCTTTTTTCCTAAGACAATTAAAGTTGATCGATTACACGTAATGAGCAAGCGTAATTTCAGCATCAATCGGGAAATTATTTTTAGAATTAGAATGATTAGAGAAATCAAGTGTTTTCTACATTTTAATTATTGTTTTACTAATTCTTTTTTTTTAGCTACTTCTGCTGCTGTGTCGTTCTGTTGTTATTTTTACATGGACCAGATCAGACAGTTCATTATACAATATTTATTTCTTCCCGTTTGTGATCATTTTACTGTCAGGCAGCTTTAGCTTATGTTTTAACAGACTTCCCTTACTATATTAATATGCAAATCTACGTGCAACCTAAAATCTGAAATATTTTACCTAGAACGTTCCCTTAGCGCTTGGTTCCGCAATCATAAAATATTGTCGTATCAATGCTTTTTGATGAATGTCAACATGTTAGGGTGCTCGCAAGGGCCTTACGGCATCTCAAAGGAAGTGACGCAATCTGCTATTAAAAGGGATTTCCTCGAAAAAGTTGCAGAAGCAGTCAATGATGAAACAGATGAACTTTCTATCGGAATCATTCATACACCTGGAATCGTCGACAGCTGCTCTTTTCATTATAATCTCGAGCAATGCTTTTTTGCTTTTCTTTTTACCCACTTGCTGCTTACAAATATAATCTGTATGGCAAATGTTGTCAACAATGATATGGGAAATTTTGCTTAGTTCAAAGTTTGCGAAGGCGCTTTATCTAATTTGTCAGGAAAATATTCTATGTTGATTCGATACTACTTTGTCCGGAAGAATCCACTTCCTTGAACCTCAAACTAACTTTTGTTGATGCAGAAAGACTTTCGTCTCTGAAGGTTTACATTGCTGACGTCTTAGCTTCGATGTTAAAATGAACACCGCTACGTTTTCCCGCAATACCGTTGCTGCCTGTATTATCTTTTCTTTATTGATCTAGATGCCACTTAACAAGTTCTCAAGATGAAGTTGTCAGATGGAAAAATTCTATGCATTTTCGGATTCTGCAATAAAGAAATTATTTGGAGATTGTGCCTTTGCCTGATTGTTCGTTTCGCGGTCTCCTTTTATTATATCTATTTCGTCGTAGCCGGCATGATAATGCACTGTAGCAAAAAACCTTAACTGAATAACTAAAGTCATCTTTGCAAAAAGAAAACTGCTGTTTCTCATTTATAGCAGTTTGATTGGAAGTTAAACGGAATATCAACTTATCTCCACGAACCTATTGACTTTTGCTTCGCACTTCTCAACAGTTTCTGGGTTATTAGTAGCACGGCACTAATAAACAGGCTAAATATGGGTAGTTACTGAATGTATTGGTGAAAGGTTTCCTCTTTTTATGCAATACATTCATATGAAGGCATTACTAGTGAGGTTAAATACCAATTGTATCAATATATGTTAAAATAAATATATGAAAATGCGATAACTATTTAATGTAACTACTTTCGAACCTGCAGAAACGCTGCCATAAACAGGCTAAATAAGTACAAACCCGGATGAATGAAATTTATCTCACAATGGATTGTAATAATTTGGAAGCGGGAATAATCTAGGCCAGTGCAGATTTCATACCCATCTACCGTGTTAATCTTTAATAACTGATTATTTCAATGTTGGCACAGTACCGTTTACTGGATCTCGTCAAGGAGTCATTTAATAAAATTAGAAGATCTTGACATCCGCTAGCAAACTTTGTCACTCGTAAAGCATTCAACATTGTTGCGAAATATTTTCGTACTGGATATTGAGACCTACTAAGAATGGAAGATGCAAATTTCGTGCATGGGTAAGAAACGTTATCCTCAAAAAGGTATAGGGAGAGCATAAAATAGTAAAGCGAGCTCTGGAATGAGTTAAGATCAGTTCATAGAAAACCTTTAGCTTATTTTTAAAATAATGAACTGCGGTTGGCTTAAACTACATTTTTCGAATCATTTGTTTTACGCTCTTATGACCTCGTGAATTTCATGTAGGCCTGTCATGTCGGACTTGAAATTTACGTATTGTATAAAACACAACGCATACACCGTATTCCTAGTTACCGATGCAACATATTTTGCGTTGCAGGACTGCTTTTCTATATTATGTATTCGCTCTTGCTTACAGACATCTGAGAATACGTTGCAAAATTATAAGACATCCCTCAAACTATCTTTACAAGACTACAAAATTTCTGCGAAGAACATGCCATTCAGTTTACCGCATATGGTGTCTTTAGCCGCGCCCGATGCAGGCCTTGGTAATTATAATATTCTAACGTCATCGATTTGTCCGACCCAGCAAATTTTTTTGATTTCGGCACAGTTTACGTTTGACAATTTATGTACGAAATTATTTTCACTGAATATCAAGTTAATAGAAGTTGACTGCACGTTTCATACGTTCATACTCATTTTTGTTGTTATATTACGGCCGGCCTGATTTTTTTGCCTCAGTAGGTCTCAGGCGGACGCACGGATGTCCACTTCATCAGCATCCGACGATTAAAGAGACTGCTGACAAGCATGGCAAAACATCAGCTGTTGTTCTTGCGCGATTCCAGATCGACTGCGGTGCAACCAAAATCGGTGACACCCAAGTAAATTAAGGCTAACCCAATATTTCCAATTCCAAGCTACAGGGACAAACTTAAAGCATTTAACCTCGGCTACCTCTTTTGCTCCTCTGACAATGGTACAGATCACCCTTATTACCGATTCAACATTCTATACTGAACAATTTGCTACCGGTTTTTTAAAAAAGACTCGTAGCCTATATATGCAGGTCTAACATATGCACCACTAATAGGTTGTGTATTCGTTCTTAGCTGATTATGCATATATCATTTATTGATGTAACTTTTGTCATGGCAGGACTAGATTCTCAAAAAAATAATAAGAAAAGGAATGTGAATCCTTGCGGCCTAGTGTGCACGGTTAAATCGACTGGCAACTTCCTCTCTATAAGTCAAAGGGTGTGTCATTAGATGTCGATATTCTTCATTGAAGTGTCGTGAAATCATCATCCTCGAGGTTTCTTCTTTTATATAAGAAACCCATATGTAAATTTTATTTACGAATACCGGGCCTCCCTTTAATAATCTGTCATGGTACTGCAGCGTTTTGGCTAGCATCTTTTTACTGCAATGGTACCCACGGGATTCATACATTTTTCTTAGCCAAAATATGTGCAAAAGGTAATTTAATTGGTAATTATTAGTAATCTGTTTTAAGTGCATGGCACGAAATTCTCTAAGTAGGCATATTCTAAAGTAACACTGTTAGAAACACTGTTCGGAAGGACGCACGTTCTTTATCTATATAATTCGTCAACAAATAAAATCTGATTGCTTGAACCAAACTACGGTTCACCGTAACGTTTACACTAAAATTATTAAGAATCGATGGTACAGACGAGCATTGTTCCAACTTATCTAAACTACATATAGCCATTTGACTGGTTCTGACATTTAAAGTCTTCGTAAAACTGGCCAATGGTGCTAAGTTAGCATCGTCCAACAGGTTCAACAAAAGTTGTACTTTCATGCAGGTTATACTGCATTCAAGCTACAACTGCATGAGGGCATTAAGATCAGTTGGACTTCGACACGGCTAATGAATATAGCCGACAGCGTCATTCGAGTTACGCGCGACCGCCAAAAGACGTTAAATTAAACAGTTATAGTTAGTGCACATTTACTCGCTATCGCCGTCTAATCCGGAAATGTTGGTCCAATCATTTATTCGTAGATCCTGTTGGTTAGTAATATAGTTCACATTACTTCGCATATTACGCCCATATAAAATCTTTGGTCTGAACCAAAAGCTTTTTTTGGAAACATTCACAATGCTTCTGTTATTACGATTGATAAAATTATACGCAGCCCTCATAAACACGTGTGAAACGTGGAACTAACGATGTGAGCGATGCAAAGCCGGGAACGCAGTTACGCGTCGCATTCGTAACAATGAAAATCCTTCTAATCGATGCCGCTGATAGGGAACTTCATCACGATCTTATTGAGGTATAGGATCACCAAGACCGATCGCCCTCCGCTTGTCGGCAATACCGACGATTTACCACTGTGGTCGTTCTATGCATTACCATTCTGCTAGTCGAACTTTCGTTGAGCACTTTCATTCATTTGTCAGCCCGCTTGCATTAACGATTTACTGCTTCGTATAGAACTATATCCCATATATATATACAGGATATATGTATATACAGATCTACTTGAATTACTGTTGTTTTTCCAACTGTGCAATACTCCCGTTTTGTTTTGTTTGAAATGTTCGATTTGCCTATGCAAGCGGAATAGCTATAATTATTTATGCAGTTGCTTGTCTCTGTCTTCCCATTTCTTAAATAGGCTCCGTCCTTGAAAAACAACAAGGAGAGAAATGAGAATGAGCGGATGAGTGCTATTGCTACTCGAAGAGCGGAATCCAAAACAGCATTACGACTATATTAAAGATGAAACAGCGTCGTCGGGCAGCCTAGACTTTCATTAAGGGACTCGTCGATCCAAGTCTCAATTACTGACTGAATTGTGTTGTTTCTTATGTTTGTATGTTGATTATATATTTAGAATTTAAGAGTTGTGGTTATGGCTAGGAAAGCCAGGACCATTCATTGCCAAATTAGGTCAAAGGTTATGGTCCGTGTGCCATAGGTCTACCAGAAGTTGTAATGCGCAGTGTGTTGTCGGGCTTTGAGTGGCCCAACTCCTAGCACATCGGACGCATGATCATGATTATCCGTTGGGTTCTACATTGAAGCTACTTAGTTGTTTAGATTTGTCTGCAAAATTCGTATCGGAGTCATATACTTCCTCAATGACTTAACAGCAATATCTCATCCTGGCACATATAACCTTTAGCATGATCATGCAACCCAATGTAACCGTTTTTAGAGAAGGTAACTTACATTCAGTTCGTATCTAAAGGCGTAGCTTTAAGATACGTGAAACTAGTAGAAAAAAAAACCTAGTAAAACGATGGTTATTTTGTATATTTATCGTTAAACAAATATTTTATAAAGTGCAGTAAAATACGTAGCTATCCTATGTAGCCCCACTCTTTCGGATATGATCACAAAAGCATAAATGAAACCAAATTTTTCACCCGCAAACATCGGAAAGATGTTAAAATGTGATAACATTAAATATTAAAATACCGCTTTTTTCATTGGAAAAAAAGTGATCCACATAGCCCTTGCTCCATGTAACCCTAGTTTTTTTTCTATATGCTACGTACGAGAGGCCCTGTGCTGTACATATATGTAGAAACTAAGGACGTTGAAGGCACGGGAGTTTGCTGGCGAGAGGAAGAAGAGAGCACAAAGGAAAGATATTTCGAAACATTAACGTTGTAAGACACCTCGCACTTGTTGTATCTTACGCATGCTTGGATACTGTTGACTGAAGCCGAAGCCAGCCAACGAGAGGATATCCCCGTAGTAAGAACAAGATACGTGAATTGTGTTTGTTTTTTGATTTTCTAAAAAGACATTAAGTCTGTTTGTTTCGTTTATCCGCTAACATACCTAAGTATTCGCCTTTTTTCCTTATTTTTTCCACGATCAGCATTGCGGTGTTGCCTTTTCTTCTTATTTAGAGTACGGCTAGCACATACCGTGACACTGATCAGTTGTGCTTTTAAATACCCATACGGTAAGCGAGCCACAGCACAAACAAGATAAAGGGGCTAGAGGTGCTAACAGTATATTGTTGTCAAAGGCTAGTGGACTGGAACAGACGCCTTTCTACAATCGTAGTAATTGCAGTAGCAGCTAGCCTGAACATAAGTTCATCGCAGGCTGTATCATATTGTTGCAGTGTTACAACATCTAGGACAGAGGGCAGCGGTGGCCGGGCAACAAGAGGACATCAAGCTGCAGCTACTAACTTAGGTGGACTAGACGCAAGCGAGAGCTGAAAGTCGGAGCGATGCGACGGTGAGCTGGAAGTACACTAGGTGCAGCAACAACGATGACCTTGTTTGGCGATATGCCATCCTGCTGCCTGCTCTATTTCACCTCCTCTCTCTGTCCCCCTATATACCTTTTCTCCTATCTTTCGCGAGAAAGAAGGGGTTTTGTTCCGCCAGATATTCTCCTCGCAATTCTGCGTCCATCCACGTGACTGTTGACCAGCGTTACCGACGCACTGATTTCCTCTCAGTCAGTCCGACTACCGCTAACTGAGTGCTGCGCTGCGGCCGTGGTTGCCGTAGCGTTTTTCTCGTCAATAACAAGGCATATACCAATCACTGTAACAGCTGCAAAGGAAACAGGAGCTAGTTAGTTAGCAATCGAGCTGCACTAAAACTAATACTCCTTTAAGCGGCAGTTACTCCTGTAACATTGCACCAGTGTTAATAGAGTAGTGCAATATTGTTAGCAATTGTATTAATACAATGAGACTGGCATGATGAGTCTCGGTGATGGCTTGATGCAGTGAAGTGTGTGTGTGTGCGCGTGTGTGTGTGGATGTGTGAGTGTGTGTGTGAATGTGTATACTATTGCGTGAGAATTACGTATTAGTGATGACTATACGTGATTATACAGCCGCTTAACTGTCACTGTTTATCGCACGCGGCCGTCTACTATTGTAGATTACGTTTCACGGATGGAGTGACCACTTGCTATCGGTGGCTTAAGTGCATATCATAAGCAGGCAATACTAACACCACTTGAATCACAAATTTTTCGCAATATGATAGCGATTAAAAAGCTAGCTCGTTCAGGTAAAAGAATAAATATCTGAATGGGTTACTTTAGAGGTGAAGATGTTTACAAAGGAAAACGTCGAACGCGACCCGCTGCGTATCTATCTACTAATCTAGCTTTACAACTACCGAAAAATTTGTTTTATGGCATAAGCTACAGTTTGATTTTTCGTGGCTAACGGCATCGTCGTTAACGAATGCTACAAGTCAATCAGTCCGCTTCCGCCGTGAGTATATAACTTGACTGTCGTAAACATTGTCGCTGGCGTTCTTCCTAGATCTGTCGGCAGCAGATGACGTGCAGCTGCGAGTTGTGAGTGTTGTACGTATTCCGTCGTTGGAAAGTAGTGTCATTGCTATTTTACGACTGATCGCTGGCGTTGCATTACCTAACCGTCCATTTTGCTGATCGAAGGGCACCTATGCAATTAACAACAATACTTTTACTACCACCGAAGGTTTTGCTCCGGAAGGGCAGTTACTATTCGTTCGCTAACAAAATCGTTTGACAGCGCTGCGAAGATGCCGCGTGCAAAGACTATGTCTCTTTGTAACGGAGCCGAAATACCCGTCCTGGGTTTGGGCACAGCCAAGGTATACTGAACTAAGCAAATATGTCCATATCATGCTATATATATTAAGGCTTCCACTATGATAGAAGTTTATAGAAAATATTTATAGAATTTATAAATTGTATTGTTAATCGAAATAGTCATGACTATCTGATAATTAAAACACGAACAACAGCCGATACTCGTTACTCATAATTTACATACATATATCACAACTGTAAGCAACTTTTATGCATGCGATCTGAGGAGGCATTAAAATCCTTTATGTCCTCCTCCCTTTAAAATTCTTATTTCAAGCAGACATAAGTTAACATCCCTTTATCTCCTTATTATGCTTTACAATCCATGCGGTATCTACTGCGCGAATCGAAGCTAATTAGTACAATTAGGGGCATCCATGGGACAGCACGTTTCCACTAAAAATGTGTCTTGATGAAATTTTTATTTAAAAGAATTTACTTCTAATCAATTTCACAACGTTCTAAACATCGAATGCCGAATAACTTACTTATACTAGGCATCAAACTGTGAACTATCAACATCACTGCAGGTATTATCAAACAAGAAAATTGGAACTGGCGTGATTAATTCCATTTTATACTCCTTTGATATGTCAACTTGATCTATGTAATTTTATTATTTAGCTATGAGCAATTCTCTTGAAAAAAATCTTGCTGGCTTCATCAAAAAATTGCTGTAAAAAAATTCGCTTTTCTAAGACGCGATATCAGTAAAGCTAAGTTTTTTCAAACGTAGACGTTTTCCTAAGGCTGGATCTAAAGGTAATTTAAACATCACCTAAATGAACTAAACAAAACTGTTAGCGGCATATATTTTCAGCGATCAAACATATCTTTTTACGGAAAACAATGCAAGAGAGATGATTGTTTACATTATGTATAGATTACTGTTATAAATAGTTAATGACTAACGGCTGCACCTATAATTTTCCGCATGGATTTGTGTTACTCTAGACGAATTGAAGAATAGACGGGCCTACTGCAGTAATATGTCACGAGATCCTCCGGTATATTCCGTCGCCTGCCTGAATACACCTGTAATAACTATTTTTTCTAGTTACGGTTGCACCATTCGAAATCTTTCAGCTTGTCCTCTACAGGATCTGCTAGCTGTTTTCAGCTAAATACAGCGACGCCTGTCAGCGTAACGAACGTGGTTAATACGCGTAATGAGAAAGATCACTCACACACACACACACACACGATATGTATGTATGTATATAATCAGATGCCCGTTGAAAATTTCAGTGTGAAGATGTTTACTCAGCTGTATGCACAGCTGTCGATGTCGGATACACGCACTTTGACACAGCGTATGCGTACCACAATGAGACGGAGCTTGGCCGAGCTCTCCGAGACAAAATCCGCACAGGGCGCGTGGCTCGAGAGCATCTATGGATCACGACCAAGGTTCGTGCGAGCTCTCATTCAGTCTGTCCTAACCTTGCCCTGATCCAGAACTTTTTTTTTGTGAGTCTTTAGTCACCAATTTCCTTTTCAAGTTCAAGAAATACTAAATATATACGCGTCAATCGACACTTCGACACGATCGTCTACAAAGCGTATCAGGGTCTGATCCTTGTTAATTCTGTCAGCGACAATAATATTTGGTATTCGTTTCCATGGTTTAAGAGGTACTATAATCTAAAATATTTAGAAGATGATGTATTATAACTCGGTAACCACCGGTTGTGCGAGACGCTGTTGGCTGCGGCTATGGACAGCAAATCGTTGGCAGTAATAACTGTAACACACTTCATTTCACAACAGAGGGGTAACATATGCACTAGAAATGTTTGTCGTAATCAAAAAGCGTTCATTTCAGTTTGGACCGAAGCCAACCGGCAGCGCACTTTAGTACCTGGCTGTTATAAGCTGTAAAGGGCGAAAAACTTTGAAAAAAAAAATATTAAAAAACTGGTGCAATCGAATAACCCATGCAGAGAGTCGAGTCAAAATGCTTGATAGCTGAACACGACGGAATATAAACAACACAAGTTAAAACGTTTTTGTTTTAGCAAACCGCCCAAACTATTGACGTGTGCTTGTATTATTGATCGGTATGTATTTAGCGCCTGAATCAGCTGTAATCCTTTTTAAGCGAAAATCGTATGTTTGTTTTAAATATTTTTTTGTGGCAATATAATGACCCAGGGCGTTCGCAGTTCACTTAAAGGTGTTTAGTCCTTTTTTAGTATCCATTGTAGGTCACCGATGTGGTCGATGGGTCTATTTTTTTTTACCGACATCAGTCGTTGACGATGATTTTAATAAATCTGCAGGTGTGGAACTCGTACCATCGAGTCCAGCAGGTAGAAGAATGCTTCCAACGTTCGGCCATAGCATTAGGGGTTGACTATGTCGATCTCTATCTTATGCATTGGCCTTTCGCTTTCCGCGAGGGCCATGAAGGACGTGCAGAAGACGGAGTGCCTTCCACAACTGATGTTGATTTTCTCGAATGTTGGCGCGGTATGGAAGAGGTGTGTAAACGACTACTGTTACATCAACATAACGAGTAGTAGGCCGTCTGGATCATGATGATACAGGGAAGTGAACAAAATGTAAGCCATCCAAAAGCAATTGTTTGTCAATGCTAAAAGCTTTATTCTTTATGGGCTAAAAAGACCGTCCTGTATTCACCATTAGGTTTGATTGAGCGGTGACAAATGCATGGTAGATCAAATTATAACCGGTCGCTTAATTATGGCAGTGAGTAAAAATAAAACCGTGTTAAATCCTAATGCGGATTTGTAGCACTGTCGTGTCAACACGCAGTAGGCGTGCCTATATCTGTATTGCTTTTGCTTGGCATCATTGTTCGCTCCATTTTTTATACGTAATAGCAGTTCAAAACGCTTCTATTTGCTGAAATCGACAAACAGTAAATAATGGTGAAGGGATATGCATATAACATGTAGAAATATGTGAACCGACATAGATATATGCCGGCACGTTCAGTGAAAGACCTTAATCAAGAACTGTGTACTTTACACCAATCGACGTTAGTTTGTCATATTGTAGATTATTGGTACATTTGAAAATCAATTGCATGAAGTGCAGTCTTCTGGTTTCTATCCTGGGAATTTCAATGGCTTTAGTATCTTACATACTTGTCAGTTTGTAATGGAACTTACTTTTCCTGGTTTCATGCTTTCATGACAAGCTCTACATAGAAGGGCGAGTGCGCAATATAGGTGTGTCAAACTTCAACAGCGAGCAGATGACTCGCCTTTTGGCGAATTGTACGATTAAGCCATTGGTAAACCAAGTTGAAACAAATATTTACCTTAACCAAGAGAAGTTGCGAGCCTTTTGTGCACAAAGAGGCATCACACTCATTGCGTATAGTCCTCTAGGATCACCTGGAAATAAAAGGTGGGTTACGGTAATTTTAGCGAATTATAACCTGGAACACTAGAATTGCAGTCTGATCGAGAGTTAGGGATTGTAAAAATAAATAGTTAGGTTATGTGGATCTCGAGTTCGTTTCCCAGATAGAGCTCAAATTTCAGGCTTACGCAAAACAACCTAGGTATTTGTGTTGCTATTTCTACGCGCAGTCGATCTAGACCGTACAATAAATAAGCTTTGTAACTTGTTATGCGGTGGTTTATGAAATTGCGTTGCAATTTTAATCAAGAAATAGGTGCCAAGGAAAATTAGACCTTACTCACGTATGATAGTAAGTTGAGAGTGACATTTCAGATACCCCGACGCACCCATCCCTCTCGAGGACCCTGTCGTAATTGCTCTCGCAAAGAAACACAATAAAACTGCGGCCCAAGTTTTACTACGTTTCCTGATACAACGAGGTATCGCGGTTATTCCAAAGAGCTCTGACTCGCGTCGTATTCGTGAAAATATTGAGGTTTGTCATTTACCTGGTCCAGATAGGAGAATCCGTACATAGATTTTAAAATTGATAGGATGTTTTAAAAACCTTATCTTTAAAAAAGGCTATGGGGCGGCATGCTCAGGGTGGCTGAAGCGCATCTCTAAGCGCGTGGCCAGAGTAACTATAAGCATACTACCATCGATGGTTCAGATCTCAGCGTTGGCATAAGGTTACAATGCTGCTTCATAGGTTTGCTGAAAAAAGCGCGGACAAGCCCAACAAGCCCCAGTTCGGCTAGGCTGTCTAGTGTGACAGCTTCTTAATGCTATATGGAAGAGATTATTTCAACGACTTATTAATACAGTGAAACCCGAGAGTGTTGAATAACCTCGAGTGGCGAGAACAATTATTGAAGAATCAATTCGTTACTTTTTTCAACAGGTATTTGACTTCAATTTGGATCCGGAAGAGATGGCCTTACTAATGGCACTTGACAGAGGATATAGAAGGTTTAAGGCCGACAATTTTAAGAATCACAAATTTTTCCCGTTCAATATCGAATTTTAAGTAAATGATATAATAAGGGAAAGTGCGAATCCCGCATAAACCCTAAATTAAATCATTGAGTTAGAAATAGGTAAAAGGTCATTTCTTAATGCATTGATTTTGACTAATTACGTACCATCGTTATAACGGCTTGACCATTTTGTCAAACATATTCAGTGGATCTGTCGTGCCCATTAAGTTATGATAATAAAACGTATATGAGCTCACAAGACCTTGCAAAATGCTCAAAGCCAATTTATATATGTATACATAAACTGCTGTTTGTTGGGCAACAGGAGTAACTCTGGCGTCAAACAAGGACATTTGCTGTTTCGAAAGAGCGAGTTCCGTCTAATCACATCTCCTTCATTGAATATTAAAATCGGAAACTTTTACCCTTTACTCATATTTTATGTTGAAAGAAAATTTTCATGCGTAGGTGCTTACGATGGAAAAGGAGAAAGAAAAACTCGTAAAATCGAGATAAAACAAAATCTTTTTGTCTTTATTAAGTTGGCTCTAGTTTTTAAATAACTGTATATATGCATATAAAGTGTTTTCCTTAATTTAAATCGCGGTTGCTGCCACTAATCAGTTGGATTGTTATTCGGATGATATTTTTTTGCATTTTGTTGTTGCTTTCCTTTAATTTACTGTCACTTCTTAGCAATGCTCCTTGTATATAAGAACAATACATATTCACGCTCGTTGCTCATCTCGGTGGTCGAGACACACAATGAAAACGTATGTATCATACTTTTTATTGCACAAACAGGCACCGCTAATGGTTCGTGTTTATTGGATATCGATATTTAACGATAGTTACCCTATTTGCAAACGAGCCTTTCTCAGACACTGACCTGTGCGGAAGCTCTACCAAAAGTAAAGTGTACATGACATCCTCCGAGTAAGACAGCTTACTAACTACACTGTCTTTTTTCGATACAGAAAGAATTCGACGTCCATTTAATACACACAAATTTTTTTCTCGCACAAGTCACTACATCGACAGATCTGCCCTTCGGTGTCTTTATAATCCTAATTACTCAGACTTCTTCTGTTATTTTCATTATTTATTGTTGTAATAACGCAGCTATCCTTCTAATGATTTTTGTTCTTCTATCTGTCATCTCTAATTCTGCGTATCCATCAGTGACATTGGATTTGTACATATCTATAACGTGTCAAGATGAACCATTACGTTATATATTTTCATTGCGCGTGGGAAGCTTGTTTGCTCAATGAGCAACAATACGACTATGCATGTGCCTTTTTGTTAAATGTTTACTGATATTTAGATTGTTCGGATTAGTTTAACCTTGAAGATTGATTTATTATTACTATTACTGTCGTATCTTTGCTTTGCTAGCATGGAAATAGTTTATCAACTATTGCCTAAAATGGTTGAAATAAACAAGCATACTGTTATATATGGTCAAACAACAACAACACTCTACTATAAAGTACTTTACAGCAAATTCTGGTTTTCACACGGTTTTCATTATTCTTGTCAATATTCATCAGGATCTACAATTCAAACTCACCGTCTTCTAAAAAAGGCATTGTTCATTTTTATTATTATCAAGTCTTTTACGCTACTACATGTACATACCAAGCTTCTAGAAATTATGAATATTATTACACAAGGAACTTTTGCTAAAAGCTATTATTGTTATTATCTCTTAAATGTATTCGTGAATAATCGGTAAAATGGTAAAAAATGAAATATTTGTTTAGCACTACCTAGTTCTTACTATAAATATGAATGAAAATAGAACTGCAAACAATTTCAAACGTCAGGCAGGTACTTTTTCGAGTTGAAAAAATCTCACACATGTTCATGCTGTTTAAATATTAGGGACGTTGGCGAACAGAAGGAAAGTCGTATATTATCTTGGTGCATAAAATAATTAGCAGTTCCTCTAATCCTCACCGGGAACACAGCGAATAACAGAGTTAATTTCATAAAATTCATCTGAAATTTTCTAGTTGTTACTGATTGTTATCACTTGCTCTTTGTCTTTGTTATTAGCAACTTTCATATAGGAAATTAACTTGTACTAACATCTAACTAAAACCTAAAATAACGTCCAGTGCATCTAGCGAACAATTGACTCTTACACATTTGCGAGAGCTATGCAATTGACGACTCAATTTCATTGCATTCAGGGACAATTCTCTAATTCCGCTGATGACCGATTGCATGGGGCATATTCAGTCATATGTAACTGTATTAAACAAACTACGACGACGCAGCTTGTACGATCGCCAGAAAAAAAATATGTAATTATTTGACCCAGTTACACGGCCCCTTAGAAAGTGTGATAATATAACTGTATAAAATTGTATTGTACTTAATTCGAGCTATTAAATTAAGTTAAATCTGCCTTATTTTGCTTGCCTTTTCTTGGGTACTTTTTAAGTTGAACTGTAACGACGCGAGCATATGTTAGTCTTTAGAAAACTTTCGCCAGATAACTCTGTGAACTCACAATCTGTATTCATGTCATTTCTAGTGTTCCAATCGCTAAAATGTATGTCGTAATACGTTGATTGGGCCCACTTTGCACAATATCTTAACAATAACACCATAATATACGATGTGATTAATAAGCCTGCCTTTGTGACGACAATAGTAGGACAATAATCGCTGCTCCATCGCTATCACACACTCCACCGGGTATGGCTTTTCTTGTTGCCTGTTAAACTAACTTCAAGACTGCAATAATTACCTTTCAATCATTTTCACGTCAACTGCATTTTGTTACGATGGTTTGATTCAAACAGTTGTTATTAAAACACCCATAACGTTCGCGTAATGGGTTTGTCAAATGCTTGCACGTTGCTTGTGCATAGCGCTGTGAACGCTGTATCAAATGGAAGAGAACCAACGACTATTCCCTATCACAGAACACTTGGAGATTCTATTCGCCATCAACTAATTGTCAGGAAGCAGCACTTCATCAGCTTGCTAGATCTTACGCCAACGACATTCTGCTGTTTACTCACTGATGATTTTTCCGCTTGTATACAGCACTACTTTGAAGTGTACGGAACTGATTGGCAAAATGGGAGTGCCGCCACACAAAACTACAAATCATCTTTATAATTAGCGCAACACCTGTCCTATTAGTACTCGAGAAGAAGGTAGTCGCAAAGACTTGGTGGTAACCGCAAAAGAGGTATCACGCTTGGAAGATGTGTGGGACCCAAGGCCTGTCTGACCGCGAATCTGTAAGCAAAAGACTATTTAGCGGTACTAGAACGACTCCCCATAAATAAAACACATAAATGATTGTCGCTTCCAGGGCATAACAGGTAAATCGGCTGAGTTATTGCCAAAAGTTAAAGAACAAAAAAATGCCCGGTCGCCCAAAACGTTGTAAATAATAGTCTAGATATCTTACCTAGCTAGAGCTTTAAGTGGTCGCGGGGCTGAGCATAAGTCCAACAATCGGAATGAAAGCTTTACATCTCTCGACAATAAAAATGGCAGTAAAAGCGCATCCGGATTCTCTGCACGCCTTACGCGCAGCTCAATACGACCTGCGAATTAGCAGTGATAATTTATCACAGTATTACATTGCAAATATGTTGGAAATAGTTAGTTTTCGTTAAACCAACAATCCATCAATACAAAGGAATTAATAAAACAAATATATATCAAACATATAAACCTTTTCATTAAGAGGTAGGCCACTTTTTATCCTTATTATTTGACAGTAAATAAAGTTACAAGATCACGAGAGCTGCACGCGCAAGAACGTACGAATAGTTTGTCCAGCTTACAAATGTCACGCTGAATTTGTTTATGAGTTGATTATCAAAACGCTAGAACGTTCTTACTACGTTATCTCGGTTTAAACCTGCCGAGAGCCTATTCATAGACCTTTCGGTTTAGACACACGCCATAACTCTTAAAACACAACAAACAAAACTCCGTATGCCACGCTTTCCTTCCTAACTTACCCATTCCTCGAGTAAGAAGTTCAAAGCAGGTTTCATCTTCCTCTGTATGCAGTCCACCGTCAAGTAGGATGCCGACCCGTGTTAAGGGCAGCATTCGCGCATGAGACATAACGTTCGGCGGTGCATTATACTCGAAAAGGACCCGAACACTCTCAAGATTTCCTTTCATCGCAGCCCAACTTAACGGCGTGTCATCGTTGCGATCGCGCGCATTGACATCTGCGTGATACTGCAATAAAAGTCGACAACAGTCGGCTCGATTTCGGAACGCGGCCCAATGGAGAGGTGTATTTCGGTTTAGGTCACGGCTCTCGGTTTCAGCGCCCGCCTGCAGCAACATCTGTGTACACTCACCACTCTTCTCAACGGCGTAATGTAACGCCGACCTATGGAAGCCGTCTAGCTGGTTTACCTAAACAAAATAGAGACGTCAGAATTTAGCGCCGAGAGTACAGGTTGATAATGGTTTACGCTCCGTTTTCACATAAACATGAGTTTCTCACACTTGAAATTTACTTTCTATTAGTGTATATTATTGATCATATATCTTGAAAGAGCAAAGCTCACTGGAAACAAATGGGCTACACAGAAAAACGTTGTAGATATATGCACACGAAATGTTGGCAAAAGAGAACATAAAAAAACATATTTGAATGAGTGCTTACGTGCGGCAAGGCACCTACAGAGAATTCAGCGCCCCACACAATATAATACTCCAAACAACCAATTCTAACAGCAAGAGCGATTATAACAGCTGTACAAGCTTTCAATAAATCTGACTTACATCGGCTCCCCATTTAAGAAGAACGGCGACAATTTCAACGCTTCCCATCATGCAGGCCGAATGAATCGGCACAAACGTTCCGTGTGCCTGATTTACATCAGCCCCTTCACGTAGAAGATTTTCAACGATTAGTTTTTCATCTTTGCCTCCTGTGAACAATTGGTAATATTAATAACTTAAAAAAAATTGATGATTAGACTACGAAGATTTACCAAGCTTTAAACCTTAATGCTCATATAAAACCATGGCATAAAACGACCGGAGCTGTTTTGTCATTTTATACTGCTCAATTCATATTAGAAGCCATGCACAGTAAGTTTTATTACCATTCTAATAAAAAAAAAATTCAATGCGTACTGTGTGTTGATGGTAACTAAAAGAGTCTGAAGCGCTTTAAAGATAAATGGAAAACATATTCAACCATATGAACAAATAGTAACATTATAGCAAAACAATTATTTCCGATAACTCAATAGAATAGTTTGTCTACAGAACATGATCAAATATGATCGTATCAACGATTTCTATAAAAAAAATAATGGCAAGTAGTATTTATTGTTTATCGACCTAAAGTGAAGAACAAAATAGATGTACGTGAACTAACCTAGGCACGATGTTGGGGCGGTTACTCCAATAGCGTCGAGCAGTCTTTCTGAGAGCGTGTACGATCTTTGAACGTTCTCCATCAGGTACCACATACTAAATTACGTTAGCCTATCGTAAAAACCTCAATCAGCAATTGATTGGCACGAATTATCTCGTTGAAATAGTTCACCTTAGAGCTTTTTCTCCCTCGTGATCTTGCGCTGGATCTAGTCTGTTCTATTCTAAGTAACCCTAGCACACCCACCAGCCAAGTAGACAACAGGCGAAGTATCCTATAACGTACTTATTATCTTCTGCACAGCACGCACTCACAAATGACCAAACCAAAATAACAGAATTGCGTTATGGCGCAGCAGAAGCAAAGCTAACTGCAAAAATCGTTCGATCTGTAAAACGTACTATTGATCATTAAGACTTGTTATATAACTGATTGAGATCTTAAAAATGCCTAAAGCCTGTTCAAAAACTGCTAGTGGTCCCGAATTTGTAGGGTATGGTCATTTCCGGATAGACATATTATGACGATGCAGAGCTGTATAAAGGCAGCTGGATAAACCTTCTACTTTAAACAAATGATGCCATAAAATACTACCAGTTCCTACAGGCGGCTCATAAAGATGATGGAAACATATTTACCAAAATCAATATCATGCCTCTATTACATACTATCATCCTCACGATAACAAACTAGGAATAACGATGGCAAAACAAAGGTAATTTTTGACTTCTAACATCGTACTAGTAGCCATGGCACAACTACTTGTTCTCAAATAGAACAATTTCAAAAAAGGATCACTTTACTGTAGTAGAATTGGATAGCTGGCTACTAAATAAATTTTTCGCCATCTTTGGGTGGATGGGCCAATTAGGCAATAGCAAAGCTTAAAACGTGACGAACAGCAACGCGCTAGATATCGTATTTTTAATAGCAGCTGGCATAATGCAGGTCGCTTCGCTATAGCTTCGGTTCGGCTCTCTGCCATACCACGGCTGAAAAACAAGTTTTCGAAAGAATTTTTCGAGGATAGCTACTGAACCTCGGTGGACAAGTCAGCTTTCATAAAATTCTTTTCATGACGAGAGAGCAGTTATTCTTGTTAGAATGTCTATTTCCCATGTAAGACTTCAATAGAGCATATCCAGTAAGGCATCATTGTTCATCTTCTACGTAGAACTAATCAACCAAATCTTAATAAATGTTTTTGCTACTACAACAGCATTACATATTGAATGTTTACCTACGTTCCCGATAAAGTTCGTTGTACTGGAATAATCTGTTAAACGAACATTTATACTTCGCCGCGAGACAAGATTGTAAGTAGAGCTCTGTATAATTTTTTCAAGCTTGTTCGTATGAGACCTCTTTTGATGTGTTTACCTATTTATCCTGATACACACTTTCAAATATGACATTCGCTTCTCAGTTCATAACACAACCATATCCCGCAGTAAATATATGGGAACAAGTCTCACACGACAGGGCAACTGTTTGCTTGAACTTATGCTGCTTGTAGTTAAGTTCTCTAAAAAGAAGTTGCCTTAAAAACGGTTGTAGACGTGTCGAACCAGTATATTCCTCACCAAAAACGATTGATATGTTTCTTCAAAGTGATACCATTGGTTGCAATTTTAAATTTGCAGTGTACGAGTTTTTGTCGTTTAGCTCATAAAATATAGCCACAGACCGTCACCTTCTATTTGTACGCCTTTTAGTAGTTAATCAATAACGGTCGATTATCGGTTTATTTTTACAGATTTTGTGAATATTTATACAAACTGTGCTACGGTACTGCCATCGGCAACATCAGAAACCATATGAAAGAGTGCTTCAATGATCCTTAACTTAGTATTATATCCTTATATGTAACATTCTGCTGTATTTTTTTTCATCAGCAGCTCGTGGTGTTCATTTTATTGGTAGTGTATTTGATTAAATGACTTGTGCTACCATTTCAGAGGAATAATCTTATGCAATTTGTACACATTGCACGATCCAACAAGTCTCGTATAAGTATATATATGCGAAATAAAACAAGCTACCCTTAGAGTCATGTCTTAATACCAAGCTCTTGTTTCTTACACGGAGTGTGAATCTTATAACTGCATTTTCGCCATAGCATGTGTTTTTGCTATCGTCCTCCACTATATATCAATGTCTACCAACTTTTTATGTTTTCCTGTAACATTGCTCCTTCGAAAATCTGCAATTTCAAATCTTCCGATTGGACCGACCTATAAGTTGTCAATTTACGCCGGCACAGTTGCCTCAGCTGTATTTTCTACCGACTGGTTGGTTAAGCTGGGTTTCGTTGTATTTTGAGTGAACAGGGATTACGGGTCGGTCGCGTTGTTGGAACATCATTAATTGTCACATACCAGAGCGAGACACTGTTTATACGCCCTGGACAGCTGCAGAGTCTGAGGAAGCTTGAATTCAGCACGTAAAGAGTTTCCCGCGCACCTATTCACAGAAACGGACAATTTTCCAGCGCGCGATGCGCTTCCAGATGATGGTCAGCTGGCAGCCGCCATCTTGAATTTTTTTGTGCATGCTATGAAAGAGATGGGGCGACATGAATACCGGTTGCGGCCGATGGCAACAGCACAAAGCCACAAAAGAGGCAAGTTAAAAATTTATACCTAATTATGATATTCATGCAAACTTCTTTCTAGCGATATTAACATCTTACGGCAAATATCTAATCATTGAGTAACGATCAAGATCCACAAAAATGTATCTCATAATATAAGGAAGGCGTGCTGCGAGAACGAGACTATAATATCGGGATAAATGCTTGCGCGAATATACACAGTGTCAGGTTCTATAGCATACAATATAGAATTCAGTATCTTGAAGAATATATAATCGACAAAAATTAAAACGTGCTACGGTGTAACATTTTAATCTGTTTCATTAACAATTAAAACTATAGGCGACGCACTTAGCGTAAGCTTAACTATGCGGCTTGTTATGAAGCCAGGAAAGGCATATGAGCAAAGGTTTTTCAATACATATTCTGATTAGTAGTCCTAAAGGGTCCGTATACTTGTTGAACATGTTTAGGCATAAGATCTACTGGAACATGATGTATATATACATATAACGCCGAACGCTAATGTCGACAATCAAATACGAATTCAAATTTCGACATCGAGCCCGCCGCCGCAGCATTTGGCTAGTAAAGAAGCGAACCTTCTCGAATCAGCGGGTGGCTTCGATTCACAGGCTAAACATCTCGAGCAATTAACCGTACAGCTCCGCAGAATAATCATTCTGCGAGCGGTGTGTGGTGCGAGTTCGTGTAACGATACAAGACTCTCGACTGCTATTTTTAATACACCAACGAATTATTCTTTTTTCGCGCTGCAACTGGTGTAATCATGAGTGGTGAAAGCACTAACCAGGCGGTAAGTTCTCGTAATGGGACAGATTATGAAATAAAGTAAGTTTGTGATGGAAATGTTGAATGGAAACATTTGAAAAAATAGAAATTCAACAATGTGTGTGTGAGCTGCACTAGTTTATAGTAGTGGTAGTTTGATGTCATTTTGTGGATTTAAAGGAAGAAAATTCGGCTTTTTGGTACAATCGAAAAGGCTTAATTGTAATGAAGGACATAGTGGACGTCATTAGACTTCAAATATAGTTAGGTGTATGTTGTTATGATAAAAATGCTGTCAAACTGTTTAGAACTGTGATATAATTAATATGCCGGTTAGTGGTCTACTTTAGTTTCACGAAAATTTGAAAGACAAGCTAAATAAAACATACCGCGTTGCCACATTATTCCTGGTAACCTCTTTGTATCGTAATTACTTTCAGATAGATGCAGTAGATAAGCACGATTTATCTTAATCAATGATAATGGCTTTGACAAAGACCCTGTATCAGGCGGCCGTTAAACAAAACTATGAATATCAGTGTTATTTTGATCACAGGTAAATAAGGCTTGTTCTTGCGTACCGCCTTTCACTAGTTGACACAGGCTGATTATTTTCTTACGTAATATTTACGTAATAATAGAGGTTATATACAGAACTTCTAAAATAGAATTCTTGAATGATAGCATTATAGTGTTACGTTATAACTAGCTCAAGTTGATTAAATTCTAAGATAATCATAAAGAATCTCTATACCTTGCTTCGAAATTTTCCGTTTTAGGAATTTGAAATTAGGTCGTCGACGATAGCAGAATTAACTAGTGTTAAAATGGAGGCAACCTCATATCAAACTAATGCTCAAAATAGCTTCTATCGATGACATGTGGTTAGGTTAGAAACCAGTGTTTAGAAAATACATGACTTAAGAAATACTACGAAATGTATGCCGATGCTTATCTTTTTTCTGCTTTTTTCTTTTTCGCTGTATTGCTAAAAAAAACTCAAAGGTTCATTCAATTTATCAAAAAGTTTGGTGGGTTTGCTTTGATCATCTTCGATGCCGGGTTTGTGGGCATAAATGCTTTGCCTTTTGAGTTTCCCAAGGTGAATATAGGCACTTTTCACCGAATTTTTACTGATAATTATTGCTAAGTTGTATTGAAATTATTCTGTGAACACAAATAATTAATGTTTAGTCAAACAGTTCAGCATGAAACTATCGTTAAGCCTCCCGACTTATACCACTTTTCATCATTAATGGCGAATACTCTTTATACGATTCCGTTCATCTAGACTTCTCCAAAAACATGGTACATCTTAAAATATCAATAAGTATACAAAGAAATTTTCCGTATTTTCCGATTGGTGTTTTATTTATGGGACGCCAAAATGTAATAATTCTTTTTGGCAATACTACATTTGCGTTACTTTGTACAAGACCAAAGTAATTTACTCCCAATGACTGATTGTACTTTCTAAAAGCTACTGCAGTAAATATTCAACAAGATGTGCTAGGAGCGTTTATCTGCAAAATACTTGTATCGATATGTCAGAATCTGCCCGTTATAGCATGGAAATTAGTTCATGCGCGACACGCTTTCCATGCAATAATTTATAAAATAGAGTGAATCGGATGATGCTAATGGTTGTTAAATGCTACTTTAACTTAAAAAGTTTACACTAATAATACTTACCAATAGTGTGAAAATCTCATTATTGTTATATTATCGCATAGTTGATTTCATAAGCAGACAGATTAAGGAAATTTATCCAGAATTTCAAGAAGAATGGAGAAAATAACCCCAGTCAGTTTGAATAGAACTACCGAGTTCTGAATTATTGTTTGCATGACGCCACGGTGAATTACTAACCAACGTTAATATTATAAGGTTTTATAGTTAGATGTTATTCGTTATAGTATGTAAGTTAGACAAAATCTGACAGAAAATGAAAACTTTGACGAAGTCGAATTTTGTGACGTTAGAACAACATGTTCAAGCTGTAACTTTTGTCTAATGACTAAATCCACGCGGTTCATGTTATATTTTATAACGCGACAGCGGTATCTTAGTGGTTACTCATATCGCCGCCAAGTAGCTAACCTTACACAAATAGCTATGACTTCTAGATAAGTGGAGTCTTATTTCTATTTTCAGCGCACAGAAAGTGGTTGCTATTAACTGCTCTGAGTCAATATATTATAGAAATTACCCTTTTTCCTTTCGGTTCATATTTCAGGCTATGGCCGAGAAGGAGTTAGGAAATGCGGCCTACAAACAGAAGAAGTTCGACGTTGCCATTTCCCACTATGATAAAGCCATCGAATTGGACCCCAAAGAAATGTCATTTCTTAATAACAAAGCCGCTGTCTTCTTCGAGCAAAAGGTAAAATAGCTACTGCGTCTAAAAGTGCGCGTTAAGTCACTTCCTATAAATGCGTACCAGATTTTGCTATCTATGGGTTCTTGGGTTCTAGTTTGATTGAATGATTTGAGTTTTACAGCGTCGTTTCATTGCAACGACGTTAATAATATTCGACTGTGGATCTAATGTGAACCATATTGTGCTTGCCCTATTGCCTCTAACTGTATTATCTGAATATTAACATTTTGTTTTTGGATTCATTTTCTTCTGTTAGGAGTGGGAAAAGTGTATTGATCAGTGTCAAAAAGCGATCGAAATTGGTCGTGAGAATAAAGCGGATTTCAAGTTGATCGCTAAAGCGCTTTCGCGTATGGCCTCTGCATACACGAAAAAGGAGGATTACGACAATGCCAAGCTTTTCTTTGAGAAAAGTCTTACGGAGCACCGAACGCCTGACACTCTAACCAAGCTTAGCGAAGTAGAGAAGATTCTTAAAGGTATGTTTTTCAGGTATTATAATTCATTTAAATCGCGTAACAACTGTGATATTACAAATATTGGTACTGCGCAGAGGAATGGGTGGAGCTCTTACTGGTAGACGGGCTGCCCTGTTGAGGTTGCTTTGGCTGCCTATGAAATTCACACATTTTTCGTCATCGTTCTACATCGTGTACCGTCACGTCTATGGGAAGCCAATGACGTTTTCAAACAATAGGGGAAGAGAAGTCCTTTGCCACACTCGGTAGATGCACTAAACTCAACGCTCAGGTTTTGTTGTGAAAATTCTAAAAACTCATAAGCTTTGTACAGGCACTGCTTCGAATATATAAAATTTAGATATTTCATGCATATCGTAGAGCTCATGTTTCGCGTGCCATGTTTTCAGAACAAGCTAGGAAAGCATACATCAACCCGGAGCTCGCACTCGAGGAGAAATCGAAAGGCAACACTCTGTTCCAGAAAGGCGATTATCCGGGAGCGATTAAGCATTACACGGAAGCAATCAAGCGCAATCCCGAAGACGCTAAGGTGTTTTCGAATCGTGCCGCATGCTACCAGAAGTTAGCTGAGCCTCATTTAGCTCTAACGGATTGCAACGAGTGTATCAGGCTAGATCCGACATTCACTAAAGGCCACATACGCAAAGGTTTCGCATTGTTGGCAATGCGCGACACAGCAAAGGCGCGATCTGCATTTGAAAAAGCACTTGAACTGGATCCGAATTCAACTGAGGCATTAGAAGGGTTCAAGAAATGCTCAATGAGTTTTAGCAATGTTGATCCCGAAGAGGCTCGCCAGCGAGCGATGGCTGACCCCGAAGTTCAAAAAATCCTGGCCGACCCCATCATGAGAATGATTCTTGAGCAGATGAACCAGGATCCATCAGCGTTCCGCGAACACATGCAAAACCCAGATGTAGCAGCAAAAATCCAGAGACTGATTGAGTGCGGAATTATTCAGGTCGGACACCGTTAGGACAACTGCAGGAGTTTAAAATAAAAAAAAGGCATTGTCGAGAACACAAAGTTGCGATCGACAGATGGCCAAGAGACGTTTTGACGTTAAGCCGCTGAAGAGCGGAGATGAGAACAGCTATGTCACTCGCACCAGGAAATAAACAGCAACTAAGAAAACAAAGTCTGCATCAATTAAGAGGGTGTGGATGATTCAAGCTAAATGCCATAAAATAAGAAATTTTTCTTCACAAGAAATGCGTATTTTTTTAAGTAGATGTGATTTATTCTTTTTCTTTATATATATATAATATATATATATATATATATATATATATATATATATAATGTTTTCATGGTTGCTTAATCGTTTGAAATTAATGGCAAAAAGCTGTCATTAGAGTTATTAGATAATCTCGTAATGCTGTTGGTCAATGTTATACAGCCCGTAGTTATTCATCTTCAATTGATAGTTTGGTTACATTAGCATCTCCTACTTGTAAAATATAGTGTAAAATAAGATTTTTTTCGACAACAAATGCACATTCCAAGTATGTGAGATCTGTTCTGTTTAGTCGTACTTGGTTGCTTGATCGTCTGACATACATGACAAAGAAGTTAATTGTAGTAGATTAAATGTTATTAAGGCTTTATAACATGTTAATGTTGTGAGCCATTGTTATAGAGCCTGTTGATCTTCATTTGTTTGACCACTTGGGTACATTAGGATGGCGTAGTTCTAGGGCATGGTGCAGTCAACTTCAATCGACGACTCTATGCAATTTCACTCTGCATGATGTAATTAAGCTATAAAATATCCATTTATAACTTTTTGCCTTGGCTTGTATGACACCTAGTACTACTCTATTTGCGTAAATAAGCAAAGTAATGCACTTGCTGGCCTCAAAACAAAGTCGTACTGATGTGTACACAATTCACAAGTCAACTAGAGCGAATGGGTTAACTTGGAAGCAATTTTTTTTTAGTGCCGATAAGTAGGGCCAATCAGCTCCTGGTCATCGGCTAAAATCATTAAAAACCGAAACTATTTTGTTCCGTTTATTTTTACCTATTAAAGTCGTACGCTTTGATATTCTGTGTGGCTCGCTTACACTATGTGCTAACTTCTGCTCAATAAGGAGAGTGTCGAACTCAATAACGACTGAATAGATATGACACCAATGGAATCGCCAAAATTATCTGAAGGCTCTTCCATGAAAACCTTTTTGCATTCAGCTCTTAATTTTATCTGTCTCTATTTTAGTATTTCCATTCACGCGTCTAAAATTATTTGCTGCCTTTATTGCTTTTTAAAGATCTGCACTTATTGCATAAATAAGATCACATACTTTATTGACAGCGTTACGGCATCATCCAAAACCATAAAGCACGCTACGGTAATATACTTAGTTTTATGATTTTACTTTTATCGTCATAAGTGCTATCATTGCACTATTTTTTATCTGCTGATCGGTGCTTCATATGGCTATTGAGGTACCGTTGTCATCCGGAATCGTGGGACAATCGTGGGAATCATGAAACAAATGATTATACATAAACAATAACAAACAGACAAATATCCTATAGGGCGGCTGACTTTCTGGTTCAACTGAACCAGGAGTCACTGCATTCAACTATTGTGAATAAAGAATACATAAAGGGAAATACTCCACAATAAAAAATGATCTATTTTTTAATGATTTTCTGGTTGGTTTACAAGTTCGTAGATTAAGGCAACTCTACCCTAGAGTACCCTACCTAAGAATTAGACCCAGAGCTCAAAAAAAGCCGGCTCATACTTTGAACAGCGTGTGCTTTAAGGGAAAAGCTTCACTGTTTTTTTGTAAATCGAAACGTGTTTTTTTTTGAACTGTGAACGTCGTATTTCAAGTATATATCCGTTAAAGTACAAATAAACCGTACACTAATATACATGCCCGAGGAATTATATTAAGTTAAATGACTGTTTTGTTGCGTGTGAGATGTTAAATAAGCGAGAACTCGCATGCTTATTAGTTGATGATGATGCTTAAAGGGGACGTACTATTAATTTTCATTATTATGGGTAAATTATCAGTCAAGTGAAGCTGCCGGGAAAACATTGAAAAACACCATTAAAGTTTCAGTCTATTTTTTAAAGTGTTATTAGCTTTTAGCCCGCCCAACGATCGTGTAAGTTTGATTCAATTCATTCTTGCAGTTTAAGTGCATGTTATGCTTTGCTCGCCTGAAACGTTCCTTGTTCAACACTATAAAAGTAATACGCGAAAATACAACAAATAGTAATAGATGTGACTGGCGTAAATAACAGTCGTTACTGTGTTCCATGTTCATGTACATTCTTTTGTAGGTGCCTGCCTCTGAGAAATTTGAACGAAATATCTCGTTTCTGTTTAATAATGTGTTATACGCCCCGAGAAATACTCCCCAAGACACACTTGTTACAAAGAGGAGGCGCTGATTTCAACTATACATACACAGTAAACACTGTTCATTAGTGGAACTGAGGATTGATGTATGATTCAGTTATAGCCTATTCAACCTATTCAGACATTACTCGTGGAATTCGTTATGTATCGGAAACATTCGCACCCGTTTGTTAACAAATTTGCAGATGTTATTTGACGGAAGGCGCTAATAGGAGGATACATTTGAATTCATAGGAATTATAACGATGTGTCTAGCTACTCTAAGCTATAACATTTCTCACACGAAAATAACCTTTCATTACATGAATTACCTAAATATTTTTATATTTAAGGTAGGTTACGAGATAGCAATATTGTTATATAAATAGGCCTCTTCATCTAGCCAGCCGTATCGGTCCGCCACAGGTCTATTTCCGGTATCGTATTCGTGAACGGATCCTTTTTGACTCGAAGAACGCCGCGATGAGGTTCGTGATGTGTTAAATCTCTTGAAATCTTGAAACGTGGAAGTTAAATGCGCACATCTTGAAATATGATTAACTAGCGGGTACTTCAAATGTGCTTGAAGCAAATCAGATGTGAAATTTCCCTCTAATTTGTGATTTATTGTACTTACAAATTTTGTTTTAACATGTGCCTTTATCTTCATAGTGAAAAATTTGATATTGGAATTCAGACATTACTAGCTGTGCCCATCTCCTCTGGGACAGATGTATGATTATAGCTGCTTTTGAAACTATTTTTTAAACTGTTGGGTTTTTAACTCTGCTTTGCTTATTAGTTGGCTATGTATCGCAAGATGTGTTCGAATTATCATGACTTTGAAATTCAGATTCGCGTTGCCATAAAAATCAGATATAAAAAGCGTACCGCTTTCCAGCTTCATTGTAAATGGAATAACGTAGTTTAACTTGCAGTTGCTGTACTCTGCGTGCTTTTAAGGTTTTCAATCTAGCGTTTTAACTGCTTTGCGTGTCTGTTGTAGTGGATCGAAGGTTTCCCGTGACACTCTGTACGAGTGCATCAGCCAGGTGCTAGAACACTCAACCACCAAGAAAAGGAAGTTCCTCGAGACTGTGGAACTTCAGGTTGGACTGAAGAACTACGACCCGCAAAAGGATAAACGTTTCTCTGGCACTGTCAAGTACGCAACATGATTATCAGCCGGCGCAAATCGCGTCGTTGTAAAGGCCATTGACTTGTGAATTTTGAACCGAGCGCCCTCGTCAGCGACCCTCGACCCAGGGTCTTAAAAAATGTGGGGAGGCCTCGCTGGCCGCTAGATAGGCATATCTAGGGTGGTAATAATGTATTAAAACAGAATATGTAGACTTCACTTTGCGTTTTGGTTCAAAGGAAATTAATCTTTCTTAAATAAAAAAAATTAAAGTTCCTTAAGGGTAGATTTCTTCTTATTTTCTTATTTATACGTAATTTGTATAAACTGAGATTGTTCGTAAAATACTTACAGTCAGGTACTTGCTGAACAGTGCTCAAACTTGCAGTCAGGTACTTGCTGAACAGTGCTTAGTCCGTTAGTAATTGGAATCATAACATTTGGAATCATAAACATATGTTAGTGGTCCATCAAATACATGATTCGAAACTGATTTTAATAAGTTGTGCAAGGTTGAATGTAGCTCTCTGTGCAACGGGTTCGTTTCTGAACGCAGGTTCGTTTCTGAACGCATTAAAGGCATAGTTGACCACTGACTGTAGACTTTATTTTACAGGCTGCGTAACATCCCCCGTCCCAAGTTTACCGTATGCGTACTTGGAGACCAACAGCATTGCGATGAGGCCAAGTCCAACAATATTCAATGCATGGATGCCGAAGCCCTGAAAAAGCTCAACAAAAACAAGAAGCTCGTGAAGAAGCTTGGTGAGTAAATAACGATGAAATGCATGGGCCATGCATTGCTTTATCACACGCTACGAAGCTTTTGACGAAGAAAGCTATGCTTATGATGATTTTTGCACTGGGCTATGACGCTGGTGATTCAAGTGTGCAATACTGATCAATTCTTATTCAAGTCTATCAAGGTTCGTATGAAGGTATTTGATTGGCGCTTTTGGACTGCAAAGCTCTTTTTAAGATGGTATTTCTACATCCGCTATGTTCACAGCGAAGGGCTATGACGCTTTCCTTGCATCCGAGTCACTAATCAAGCAGATCCCTCGTCTTCTGGGTCCTGGACTTAACAAGGCCGGCAAGTTCCCTACTCTTTTGTCGCACAATGAGTCTATGATCAGTAAAGTCGACGAGGTCAAGTCTACCATCAAGTTCCAGATGAAGAAGGTATGTCCATTCTTATTTTTACAATGATGTGTTCTGCGCGCGTAAGAACATAGCTTTTATGGTTTAAAATGTCCGAATCGTGAAAAACTCGTGCGTAAATACGTGTGGTGTAAATCGTTAATTATTTGCGTTTTTGGTATCTGCACGGCACCGCCGTTAGAGGGCGCTGTGTTCGAAATGAGACGCAATACGAATGTGTTGGACATAGTTTGAGGCAAGAAGCTCATCTCTATCCTCATGGTAGTTTCACTCACATTTGGTTTCTACTTACAAGTATAGTATTATATCGGGTTAAATTGAGCTTTCGTGGTCGTCATGGCGGCCATTTATATTGAAATTAATTGGTCACTTTGAGAGGTAGGCATTGTATCGTCGTATATCATATATATTGATGTATACAGTAATCAAAGCTGTTTCGACTAGTTAACCCAATACCCAAACTATTTATTGATCTGTATCTTGTTTAGGTGTTGTGCCTTTCGGTGGCCGTGGGTAACGTTGGCATGAACCAGGATGAGCTCGCTTCCAATATCTCGCTGGCCATCAACTACCTGGTGTCTCTGCTGAAGAAGAACTGGCAGAACATTCGTTCTCTGCACATTAAAAGCACTATGGGTCCGCCCCAACGCCTTTACTAAATGCCTGGGTCTGGAGCTTCCGCTTAATGTTTTTTGACGCTTCGTAGACCAACGACAATAAAAATCGGTTCATAGCTAATAAAGTCTTCTCATTTGCGGTTAATTATATATTATCTGAAAGCGCAACAACCTCCTAAACAATATGTAACTGCCGAATGCGAAAAATTTTGTGACACATAATTCTGAACTTTGATAGAATTGAGTTATATTGTAATTAAAACCCACATTGCTCGAAAATACCTGCTTTTATTTATTCATAATATAATTGTGCATTTCTGCAATTATAACCCACATTGCTCCAAAGTATTTGCTTTTATTTAGTTCCTCTAACTGTATACAATAGTATTGCGTATTTAGTAGTTATTATGTAGGTTTAGAGGAATGAATGGTATTGCGTTGTTCTGAGTGAACTAGTTCTAATACTAATTGCTGTACATGCTTGTTGAGCTTCTCGTTGACTCTAGATCTTCCACATCTGAACGCATGAACAATGCAGCCCGTTAATGATATCTAGTGCATACGCGTTATGCACCTTCATCTCGCGTGTGTAAATGATTCCGCAAAAAGTGATGATTAATAAAAAATGAAGAAGAAAGAAAATGGTTCAATGGTAGAGTCTCATAAATTTCAGTGATACGTGACACACTTCCTGTTGTATCTATCGCAAAGCTACTTCAAGCTGATGTGTACACCGACTTTAAACGGCCTACACCATACGAATGTAAAGGAAAAAGATAATTGAACCTAACCACCTTAGGATATCTGTGCCATGATCATACAAGCAGTTTGAAACGATATCACACTGCAGTACGCTAATATCTCCCCTGTCTAATTGTTAAATATCTAATGCTCCAAACACATGCCACATGGCCAGTAATTTGTATATGTCCTTGGAGCTCACTTAAAGAAACAGTGATTTTCGGGAAATTTCTGCTCGAAGCATACTAAAGCATAAATCGTCACATATCACAATCACCAGCACAACTCTTTAGTTAGTATCCCTTTCTATTTTAGCCTCCCCTATCCCTAAATTAAATTTTCATCTTGAAGCATCCTGTGCATTTACTCACAAATATACCTCATTGTATTACTAAACGACACACGAACCAGCATATCCGATCTCCTGCTTATCATAATTATGTAGGTAACGTAATGATGGAAACGTATTTGTATAAACTAGAGCGACGAACGATGTTATGCCATTAACAGTAAAAATAATAGATAGTTATAACAGCTAACAGGTTTTTTAGTAGATCTGGTGTTGCTGTAACTTTTATGTACGAGTCGTCATTGCAATCGTCACGCCTTACTACTTTGTCGTGCCTTTTGTTCACCTATCTGCCCTGTTGTCTACAAGCATTTCATAACTTTGTTTGATTTTTAGCAGTAAGATCCAATACAAAAGTTAAGTATGAGCAGCTTACAATAGAGCTCCTGCTTTCTTTTACTGCTACGTTGAAAAGTCGAACGGACGTTTTATGCGGATATTTTTTGATACCTAGTTAAGTAACTCATTAAAAGACCTCTTCCATTATGTGTGAAGTATTTTTATAGATTCCGATAAAATTCAAATCATAACATATATATGTTGGGGAGGTCCCAAAAGTGTTCCCCATATCTCTAATGAGCCTAATTCCCGTTTTTGCTGTTCCAAATAGAAAAGTGCAATTTCATCGAATAGTGGCGAATTCGGCGAGGACGTTCTGTTGGGCTCGGTCAGCATAGTCAAGGTGCTTTCGCACGTCGCTGACAAGATGGCGGAGCATTGCTGTAAAAAACGGTGATTCTCGGGGCTTTTCCGAATATCTGAAAAAGTAGTCATTGACGTATTATATTGTCAGAATTACGTACGAATAATACATTTGTATGGCGATATATAATTCAAGAACATCAAACTTGGTTACTCAATCACCACTAATCACTTACCGTTCAAACTGATCGAGATTGTCATGCAGCTTTAGCGTTAGTGAATCGTAGTTACTTCGTACGACGTCCAATACCTGACACAAATGAATCGCCATATACAGGAACGATTAATCTAAAATTTCAAGCGTACATAACCTTTTGCAAGTAGCTTAGTGGCTAGAAGGGGTATATTTTTTTTGAAAGGATGAAGTTCTAGCCTGACTCGGACAGTCATACTCTAACCAGAAATTTGATCCAAGAGATTATTTATTGTAGTTAATGTTTTGAATGAACAAATGAATAGAGAAAATAAGTTGAGGCAATGATTTGCAATTGACAACATAAAACATTAGAATATGCGATACATGGATGCGTCACCTTTTTAATAAACATGCTCACATTTTTATCTTTACCTGTTCTTCGGTAAGTGAAGCAAGACAATGGGCGGTCGCCCAAGCGTTAATCTTTGCTGTAAAATGGTTCACAATAGCGCGAATATTGACAAGATGACTAGCCAATCGGGCTGCGGGATCCCTCCAGGGGGATACTGCAGAGCTCGTAAAGCTTGAAGAGGTCGTGGTTGCATTTGAGCCTGCTGGGCTGATACCAGCTGGTGTTCCATCCCCTGACGTGTACCTGAGAGCTAACCACATGGGGGGAAACATAGGCAAAATATTTTCAATAGTATGTGCCAATAACAGAAAAATCAGCTTAAATCTTTTGTCCACTTCATCCCAGTAGACACTGAATATACAAGGTGGATTCTGCGAAATATTTGAAAATGTTAATCGTATTGACTTCATATAACGTCAATTAACAGTGCAACTTGTCATGTTGGCATTTTGGTACAAAATGTATTCTAATTAAAGAATTAATTTTACACTAAATTTCGCGTACCGGTAGAATACAGATTTTCGAAAACTTCGCTACAACGAATGATCTCATAGTATAGTTCATCGTAGGACGATGGTGTCGCCAAAAACGTGTCTCCATAAGTGATGAATAAATTTATTACATTCACTACGAGGGAGCAAACTGCGAAAACATTGTGACCACGTTTCGCCAGATTCACCTGAAAATATAATAGATTTATATGGCAAATATGTTTATTGTCGTTTATTGTATATCTAAAGTGCCAGCATTTATTTAAGTATGATTTTGGCATCTGGTCATCAATAAAATAAGAACATGTGCGATTCACATGACTACTCGACTTGTATTGCCAGGGCTGCTTTCAAGATTTACAAAAAGGTAGCTAACTTTATGAAGTCTAAGAATATACCGAGCTCCATGAATTGAATGAAGCGTTTTATTAGGTATCATAAGTGACCTGATGGAACAGTTGATAACAGATGATAATGGGTAACCTGCATTTTCTTTCATGCTAACATGGGTAACCTGCATTCTCTTTCATGCATGTAATGGTTATTACAAAACAGATGCATGTTTAACAATGCCCTAGGCAACATAGCGTCTATCATGATTAATATGCATGAAACGAACCTCATTGGCTAGGATAAATTTCAGGAGGCTAATTAACGACGTCCAAAGATCCTTCCAAGGATATGACAGTCTCACGCGGCAGCGCTTTTGGTAGCAGAGAAGTCGATGCACAATACCCAAGCTTCGTCTAGATGGGAGAAAAATACAGTCAGTCTACTGGTAAAAATTGTCAAGGAAACCTGCCGAAAAGGGGAAATTTGCCGCATAATCCCCTTACTTGATTTAATAATTGATTGACTCTGACTTGTTTTGTTAATTTGAATGTGAAATCGTTTTCAAACAGCAAATAGATATTAGTAAAACCATATTTTTGTATAATCGTCTTTGCAATTTTTGTGAATTTCTTTTCAAACAACTTACATGTAGAGATCGATGTGGAAATTATTCTTAATCATGTGACTTAAGATGAATTCGACCTGAAGGTCTAAAACGGCAGCTGCCAAAGGACGAAACGGAGCATCTCGACTCGATGGCAGTTTTCGATGTCGCATCGGTGCATGTTGAATGAATACCTGTTGTATAAGTGAAACTACATCTTATTGTGAATATGCACAGCATAAATACACTTATTTTTTAATGCGATTTCAGGTGCAGTTTGTACGGCATGCAATACGTTGACAAGATATGTGTTGATAATAAAGCTTAACAAATAATAGGTTAATAAATACGTCATTAATATAATAATTGACTGCTTTCAGGTTACCTAACTTTTCATAGAAATCGTCCAGTACTAAGTCAACGTTCCTTATTGTATACATGCGTGCCAATTCTTATCCCAGTAAAACAAATGTATTTTCTGTCTCTGTGCTGGTTGTGAAGTTAAATGAACTAGGATAGAATGAACAGATCTCTGTCTTTGTGTGCTTAGCTGAGTGGAGTTGACTTCATGGTTTACTACCTTATACTGCATATTGACATCATGCATAATCGAGTTGGCGTATTGATCTTCGGCGATACAGGTTAGAATTATAAAGCACAACCTCGTTGTATTCAGTGACGTCCCGTCTGCAGACCCGATTAGACCACATAATTCCATTAGTTTTCGTATATGAGTATATATAAAAAAAAAAAAAAAATATATATATATATATATATAACGTCACATAGTGTCTAGAAACTATATCTGTCAAAAATTCAATTTAGATTGAAGCTCGTCGTAAATGAGTCGTGTATTTAGGTGTATTCAAACATACTGGACTAACCTTTGGTGTTCTGCATTACAATTGAAGTAAATTCGATAAATGTGACAAACAGGTTTGTCGGAGGCTCTAGAAGGTCCGCGTCCAAAGGAAGGGGCTCACCGCCTCCCAGCTTCGACTACGCAAAAGTGGAATTTTTTTAAGATCTTGTTTGTCATCATATTAATTCGAATGGATTAATGAAATACATTAGCATACGTTAAATATCATTATTCATCCCTTTATTCGTCGGCATGAGCTTCTATTGAGCGATCAAATCCATTTTGTTAATATAAATGTTTATGTTACTCAACTACTTACTTTACTACTATCTAGACTACCGTTGCTCGCTGGATTTAAATGGAGTGATGGCCCAGTTGGAGATGAGGGTGATGAGGGTGCGGACGACGATGGACTTTGTAATCGATGCGGCCTTATTTCAAGACTCTCCGCTTGCGTCTGCGAGATGCAAATAAAATTGAATGGAAATTAATGAATGCGGATCGTCAAGCATAAGACTTATTTTCTGCTGCTTTCGTCACCGTTACCTTTTTACTTCATACAAAAGTTAAGCATTTTGGAATATGTACGATTTATGGTTAAATATCTAAATCTGAATTTTCGTTTATATTACTTGATGTTGATTTGACTGGCTAATGAAGCTTCTGGCTGTAAAAAGCTCAATGAATTCGTCTTTTTAGGCTCAGCTATGTTTCTACAACAATATCTGTGTTTCATTTCAGTTAAAGCACATTTGGCGGCTTACGTTGGTGAGAATAGCGAGAAAGTTACGGTTGAGATGAACCGCTTCATACATGGCTAAAAGAGCTGCATCCGATCGGATATTTCCGCCAGCAATCTAAAATAATAAGGATAAAACAAAATAATAGCCGTTAGACATCCCACGCCTACCCTTCCTCGTTTCACCTTAAGATAGACTTGAAAAAGAAAACAAATTAATTATTGCAAGATCTTATGAACTCTAATTGTCGTTTGATTTCCTTTACTTTTGATACACTCAGTTACCTCCTCAACGCGGAAAAGTTCTTGGAATCATCTTTTTCAAGTATAACATTTAGGGCTTGCGGGTTTTGCTAATAAAGTTCCTACAACAGACCTATGAAACGGCTTGGCTGTCATACAAGCAGCTATTAGCTTAAATATTAAATTCTTATTTTCTTAATGCCACATTCTCCTAATTATGAATTTCAGTTAATCTCTTCTTTTTGCCAACGTTGGGATCTAAATCAGCATTGCAGCATGCTTATTAGTTACAATTATGATGTTCATTGGCCATTTAAATTTGGCTCCACCTTCCCAAACACAAAACAAGATTAGAGTTCCTAATTATTTAATTGCCTAAAAATCACTTTTGTATGAAATGGTTATGAGACCTCATGAGCAAGAGCACGTGGGTCAACTTGCTCCTCTATCTGCAGAGCAGGGGTCCCTCCAAGCCACGTTGGAAGTAGCCCTGCTAAAAGACCTCTGCCACCTGATGAAGCCGACGTTGTCGTACTCCGTTTTCCGCCAGCAGGCAGGGAGTCTGATGCACCGCTAAGTCCACCATTTGTTGCAAGAAAATGCCGATTTGAATCTGCTAAAGTTGACGACACTACCTGACCGAAGCCCTAAAAGGCAGCAAGAAATATTTATTATACTCAGTTGTCTTTTGACTATTCATTTCAAAAACGTAACGTACACAACAATAACTCATATGTCCTGTTTCAATAACATACTAGTAGCGTCTGGTTGAGAATATATTGTTTTCAATTGAAAAAATGATATGGTATCAATACATAACCAAAAAATTTCACGTAGTTGTAATTTTATCTTAGAACTAGTGTTTCGAGGAGTAATACAAATTAATTAATACAAAAAAAAAGAAGATAATACAGGGACAAATGTGCGTTTTACAAAAACTATTTTAATAACAAACGCTTTTCCTACATTCAATGCCAGCTCGTTATCAGCAATGGAGAGTCGCATAATGTAAGGGTTGGTACTCTCGTACTTGCGGTAGTTCACAACCAACATCAGCAGTAGAACCTGTTAGCAAAATAGTAAAGTCAACGTGGTGTTATGTGAATACTAGGCCACAAAACTACACAGTGCAAATAAATATCATAAAATTAAATGTATAGAGAATAGGCTAACAAATGTAACGTAGTTGTTATAAAAAGCGTTTACCGCGTGATAACCACATTGCTGTCTCGAAGGTCCGTCGGCAAGAATAGCTAGCAAGGGTTCAAATAATGAAGTCATCATAAGGTACTCAACCAGTGTATTGCTCGATACTGTTTCAGCAGCCTGCAATAAAGAAGTGAAAGGAAACTCATTTTTATCATTTCTTGCATCTAGGTATACACTATTTCAGGTCGTAAAAACGTAAAAAATATATAGTATATGTTTATAAGCTTTTAATGTAACTACGATTTACCGCGTAAAAATTTACTCTACCGTGACTAGTACCAACAGGAATTTTAGGACGAGCAGTTTTAGACTGTGTGGAATCGCAACCTGCAATTGTAAATAAAATTATCGTTCGTTAAATAGAGTAGCAAAAAGGAGAGCCAAATTTATGAATCAGACAGTGAATTCGCGAGAATATTATAGACTGACATTTTATTAAATTGTCATATTGTAGGCTGTCTGGTCTCTCTTTTATCACTTCTACAAAATAAACTAAAATGCCTAGTTAAAACATATATAAACTAAAACGCTTATTTAATATTGGTGTTTACCTCAAGTAGAGAAACGGATATTTCAAGAAGATCTTTCATCACGTTTTCGGCAACGTCCACACCAACTAGCAGATCCAACCCATCGATACCTAAAGGCGATAGCAAAATGAAAATGCGGAAAATCAACACAAATTGAGCAACTACGCGTAATGACGAAAAAATGAAATATGTACAACCTGTTAACAAGACTTCACGAATGTAGGCAGTAGCCAAGCATGGCAATTAAATGCCAAACCATATATAAATTCAAACTTGTGATTTACACGAAAAAAGGGCTTATAACAGTTGTAACAATACAAGAATAATTGTGTGTGTTAAACGAACTACAATTTTGTGATCCTAATAGTTTGGGAATAGCGGATGCCATAATGTACTCACCAAGATCAAGGGTGCGTGCTTTGGAATAAACGCCTTGAACGAATGCAGCTAACGTCTGGTACGCGTGCACGATGCGCAGCCGGATATCTGAGCGAAGTAGAGCTGACACGCACTCGGAAAATACGCGGTTTAGTACAGGCTGTTACAAAAGGAAATACCGATGCGAAAACCATTAAGAACCATGTCTGGTCCTTTTCAGTAGGCGTTACCATTAAGTGGCCCGCTTCAGGTATTAAGGTATATTGATTTTGGTTACTAATTACGAATGCTAGTACCTAATACATGAAAAGGATAGAATATATCTTGTCCGAAATTAGCCGGCCCACCTATAAGAATCTACAGAATATATTTGCCTCATATCTATAAATGATAAACATACAACAACGGCCAGCAAGACACACATAGTGTACTTAATTATTACTGCCATACCAGATACCTCTGTGTCTGCTACAGTAATTAATAAACAAAATAATGAGAATTTGACAATGTCAAAAATTTAACGTTCAGTAGATAATAATGATAAAAATAATAACTATGAGCAAATATTATTTTAGTAATTATTTGAAACGATTACCTTAAGCTGAAGCAATTTTTCCGGTTTCATGGAATCGAATTCACGTACAATGTAGTCAACGTTGACCTGTAATTACATGTTTACTTACACTTTGTGTTGTTACACTTATGTTACACTTTGTGTTGTACGACTATTGTTAATATTCAACTATCTGAAAGAATGTTCGTTCTACCCTAACGACAGTTGCTGGAATAGGAATACTATACTTATTATGATAGGGCTACCCGTGAAGAAATAATACTCCTTTACACGTAAAAGCAATGTTCCTATATTTAAACCAGAAAAACATTTACATTTAATAACACATGCTATAATAAGTTGCATTTTTTATAATATTTTTTTAAAAAGACTGATTATAACTACCTAATTATCAGTCACCATGAAATATGCATTGCCACGAGCTTTACAGGATCCAATTAATTTCTTTTCAGTTCCCATTATCGCACTACTGTTGTGTCGAAGATACGTTTTACTTTCTTGGTAACTTCACTGACGCGTGCATATATTTCAGTATCTAAAGTTACCTTAAGAAGAAAGAGCTCATCCCAAAAGTTGTCGTTGGTTTTCCATGGCTCGTCTCCTTCGAGGAGTATACTTTCATAGATTTGGACGAATTTTTCCTTCAGAGGAAGCCTCGTGCCTTTTATCGACATTTTGGTTTAACTCAATACTCAGCGGGTGACACAAGCGCCGTTTTTCCATCCAGAACGAAATGTCGCAACTTGAGTCATGAATGTGGCGGCGATATTCAAGTAGTAAAGATAATTCCGGCTGAGAATTACTGTAATAAGCGAGATAACTGAAACAAAATAAATAAAAAGACGTTAATAAGTCGCCCAGAAATATAAATTATGTCGATTTTAGAGTTTGTGAGAGTTCGATTAGCCAATGAATTAATAATACTGACTTAATTTTTCTCTGGTCACGATCATTATTCGTTACGATATTATACTATTGAGTGTGCACATGGAACTTCCTACTTTTTCAAATTTGAAAGGTAGAAAGATCACGTAAGGATAACTTAATAATAGATAATTGAAAAAGTTCGGTGTTTTAGTGGTTGTCATTGAAGTACGTGTCGTGATTAGTTGCATGAACTTCCTAAATTAATTGAAACTAGAAGTATCGTGACATATACCAAATGACTGGACTTAGATTTGAAGAAATGAACAATAATGTATAAAGGATACCAGCTCGGGCATGCATTACGAGTCTACCCACACTAGTTCTAAAATGTTCACAATTTATAATGATTTCACTTAATTGTAAGGTTTCAAGACTTATAGGGTATTAGACATTCCGAAGTAGTTTTCACTTTGTGCCTTGAAGCATCGAGAAGCACATATAACAAATCCATATTGGTCAGCTGGTTAAATAGAAATTTAATACTTTGATTTACTTTTTATAATGCTTCCGCCGTATATTTAAGTGGCAACTTCTGAATTAAGTACGCTGTTCACCTCGCCGTAATGTACTGAAGGCAAATTTTTTGATATATCACACTACTTCACGAGTGCGTAAATACTAGAACGCTGGTATTCTTATATTAAGAGAGGTTCCAAGTTCACTGTCCAGTAGCCTTGCGAGGGCCATATGACGTTGATTTGTTTACATTCTTGCTGACTGTGATCTATGACTGAAGTTCGTGGACAAATGTTGGCGAGCGTGGCTCTTCATTTATCTGATTAAAGCCTAAAAGGAAGATATTTCTCGTCAAGAAAATAATTCTAAAAACAAAACTTGACAAGATAGATATGCTTCAAGCATAAGACGAGCATGGCAGTCAGTTCTGCGCTCACGTGTTATAGCTTATTGGAATAAGAAATGGATGGGATTTTTATCTCAAATATGACTTCGATTTGATTGACACTTGGTTTGAGGTGCTTCATGACTTTGGGCTTTGGAGTATTTTTAGATTTCGCTATTACGGAAGCAGTGAGAGGTGCGCGTGACCGCATAACCCCACAGGTTTCATATCTGTCTTTTAAATGCAATATTGCCCTCCCTTAACTCACAGTAATTTCAAGCGACCCAGATTCTCAAAATATGGATTACTAAAAGCAGCGTTCAATATTGCCGTGTAAATATCCTTTTTTAATACAGTTCAAGTGATTATTACCTTTGATCTAGACCAGTCAATTTGTAATTCTGAGCACTACTTCGACAGGTTCGGCCTCAGCTCTAAGTGTGTTTAAAAACGCTGTTAAAGAGAATTGGCTAACGAATATCCCTGTTTTTTATTGGTTGCCTTAATATGAAAAACTCTGAGAGATCAAAGCTTCTAATTTCGGCTGCTGTTCATCATCATGGATGGATGTTCGATGTACTTCTCGAACCGTAAACCTAATTTAGAGTTAGAGCAAATACAGAGCGAAATTAAAAATGAGCCATCAGCAACTTAAAAAATGTTTCCTCTTCGAGACTTGAATTTTATACCAGTAATGAGAACCATACCTTTGAGAAACTGAATATTTGTATTTGAGCATCTGGTTATGCTGTTTGGTGTTTATGCGGAACAGGACTAGTCAGCAATCCGTTTTCTTAATATAATTTAGAGTAGATTCAATATACGTTGAATGTAAATAAAGTTAGACTGAACTTTTTCGACCATATCGATTGCGTTTGTTTTGTCATACACTTCTTTGTGTGGGTGTGCACGTCTTAGACAGGACGAATTACGCTTGTTGTGCTAACTACCGCATTTAGATAAATATCATCATTTGTAGAATAAGAACTTTTTCAATTCCATCAGCAGCTCGTAAACGTGCTCTAAAGAAACATATGCCAATAATAAGATGGATAGGCAACTGTTATATCTCCAAACTGAGACTGGCTGGTACACATTCGCTACTTCAAGTTTCATTACTACTAATTATTTCCTGATTGAACAGCTGTTTGATACAAAAATCCTATCTCACACGTTTTCGTAAGATTTTCCTGCGCATCAGAATTCCAGCACTATCGTAATAAACGAAAATCCACCTTATGAGTTTTTCAGAGACAACTACGATGTATATCAATGCAATCAGTTTATTTATTTTCTCTGCGCGTACGTTTGATATGATTCTGTAGTGCCCCGTGGTTAAAGCGACGCGAAACACTCATAGGAAAGTCTCATTCCATATACAACTAAAGGCTTAAGTAATTTCGTAAAGATATTCTATAAAACTTCTTGTTGATAACAAAAATTGCGTTTCGGATAGACTGAATGATTTAAACGCGTTGCTGCCCCGCGAATGATGTCAACTACGGGGCAATTTCGGTTTCAATCGCTAATCCATTACAAGACTGATTAAAACCTACGGCATTGTTGCAGAATTTCCCATTTCAAGATCTGCATAGATTTATTTCCCTTTACTATTGTTTTTCTTTATTACCTATTCAACTATGTTACCAGTCAGCCTTGCCTAGATACTTTGCCTTTCGTAATACATTTGCTTCACCTCCAATGTCCAGATAGAGGCTTGGTTCTCTAACACTGTAGATAATTATGCTCTTCTGTTATTCTTTGTTTTTGTCTTTTACGTCAGCACTTTCACGCTCTTTTTGTCATTCGCTTCAGCGTGTTTTTTGCCGAATAGGTTTTTTCTAATGAAGATAAAATGCCTTCAGCTGACAAATAGATTGCATTGATCTTGCAGTTACTTCGCTGATCTTTAGACGATTCTTAAAACGTGCTGAGTTCCACTTTTTCGGTACTGCCATTGAGCATTGCATCATAAAGCGGTGCGTGTCTACTACACCATCGCAAAGACCCATAAATTGGCCGTATTGCATATGAGCCACTGCTTTTAGATATTCCGTCAATATCATGATTATATATTGTTGCCCGTACGGACAAATAAATTCTGTCCATTACAACAACAAGCACCTGCTTTAAAACTATGGTCTAACGACCTATCCCATATTGTGCGTTTAAATCTATCGCATGGCTATAACCATTTACACAATTGTTTACCGTATAACCAGTTAATTGTGGATTCCAAGTAAGCACAACTGACTCGTTCTTCACAAGTCTTAGATGTAATCCCCGTTTGCTTAACGTAGAATTTGTTACTTAAATTACGTCCACTAGCACTTGCCAACCAATGATGATTCCTGCAAACTTCGCGTTTCATTCTCAGCACATTTCAAAAGTGTCAATCGTTTTCAACGTTATGGAAATCTTTTTTAGATTACATTTTTTTGCGCTGCGGATTATTTGAAAAGGTTTTCTGAGTCACTTTTTTTTATCCGCTGATTTGCAGTTAAAACGAGTTTCGGCAATAAAGTGGTACCGCTAAAGACAATTAATACGTCCTCTTGACTTCGAGACAATCGGGGCACTCGGGCCAACACACATGACTCATAGTTTAAATCGTCCTTATGTTGGTACGTAGATAAAGCGCCTCCGTCTACAGGTTATGTAATGTTTTAATTTTCTTTTGTGCTGCCCGCCGAATTTACTGTCAAAAAGTGCCGACAAATCTGATCCATCCTGTTTACGTCAATTGCTTTATGTGTAACTAGACAAAATAGTCACAACTATCGGCTCTTTTTGACAAGAAAAAGTAACGTTAACGCAGTGAAAAACAATATTTCTTCTAAAAATTTGATGCTATTTATCTCACTGTTACATTAACCCTACTAATATTTCGCTTTAGCTTGTTTTCTTTAAACATATGATCTAAATTCGTTTTGGACTTATTTGGATCACTGTTGCGATACAGTTTTAGGTGGTTTTAGATAAGTATGTTTTATTATTTCGTCATTCCTACTGCGTTGTATACCGTTGGTGGAGCCTGAACCAGCAATACGTGGCTTTCTTACCTAGGGTCTCAGGTTTTTGATAAAATCACTCTTTATGATCGTAATCTAAGTTTATCTAGGGTTCTATGGCATTTGAATATAAAATTAGTTCATTTCCTTTATACACTCGAACGAATCACGTATAATTAAGCTTTGGTTGCAGCTGTTTTTCCCTAGTAATTAAATCACTTTTATTCCACATAACGCTGATAGCGAATTTGTAACTTAGGGCCTTTTCCGTTACACTTTAGTTTTAAAATCACAAACATTTTTCACTTAGGATTTACAGACTGTATATTGAGCGAACGCAAGGTGTAGCTAGATCTGTCTATTTAATTCGTCATATCGTGCATTTTTTTTTCGTTTGAGTTTTTTCTGGTTCCTACTGAATTCTATTATTGTATTGCTATTCTAAAATTAAGGCGATTAATATGCTTTCTGCTTTAAGTTGTTCCATTTAGCGCTGTCCTATTTAGGGAGTCCTATCGATCTAAGTGTTGGAAGGGTATGGTGTCCTAGCCGCGTTTTGGACAGTGTGGCCGTATTTTAAGGAGATAATCATGTTTAAAGGTCGGGAAAGGCGGTAGCAAATTGGGATACGTAGCTTTGCTTCATCCTGCTATTTACAACGGTTAGCAATGTGAGGCCTATCCATTACTATGATTTTCATTGTTAGGGTATTCCTCGTTTCGGTGTGGCATGAGGAGAAGGCACGTCATTTTAGTCTTTATCGCGTATATGTGAAGATTAATTTTGGTACACAGGATTGAACTAATGTCTGGTAAACTTAACCATTTCCGTTAGTTTAGTTAATAAACATGAGCAACCTACTTGAAGATTCTGAAATTCGCGGTACTGAACCCTGATCACTTGAATGGTGAGCGGTCACGCTACTCTTACGCCATTTCTAAGAGATTTCCGTGTCAAGCTATATTGCTGCCTAGTTGCAACGGATCGTATCATTCATCGCCGATGAACGGGCATAATACTTCAATTTTGCAGTTATCAAATGCTGTGGATATCAAATGCTCATTTTTGCACATGGCGTAGATTACGAAAGATCATCCTAAAATTCTTCTTTCACTTTCTAGGATAGTATTTCTGCATTAACTTTTATTGGCAACTAAATATTTTCAAGTGATCTTGGCTATTAGGTTTTGTAAACTTAACATAAAAATGTCCTACAAGTGCCAGTATTTGTCAGTCAAGAGGTGAGTCTAAAAGTTACAAAATCACATTTTCTCTTAAACGTCACGACATTGAACCAAGTCTTATAGAAGGGGTGACGAAAACTGAAGTGACATTCTGAAATTAGCTGTGTCATTTCCGGGGGGTAAGGATACCGTTATGTTAATAATGTACTAATTGGTCGCTCGATGATACAAGAACACGTTGTGATAACAACCGATTCGTGGGAAATAGGTAGTAGGCTCTTCGGGATCATTGCGCCAGAATCATTCCGGAATAACTCGCACAGTAGATGGGTGGTAACACCGATGGAAACGACGGTGATATAACGATAGCATAACTTCCCGCAATAACAACGAAACAAGAATAAGCGAACTGCTCTATACCGGCAGCGATCTTCACGTGTTGGTTCACCGCGGCGGCTCATTTGCTCCTCGCAGCGCGATAATCTTTCCCACAAAATGCCCTCTCCCGCACTTGTTCGCGGTCGGATCTTCGCCGTCTTTATGACGGATATCGGTCGACGGCAAACACTAACCCGAATAGACAAGGTTTCGACAAGACCAGGTGCCGCAAGCGTTGTTTGTGCTCTTCACAAGTGCAAAAATTCGGTTCGGGCATTTATAGCGGTGAACTGACCCGAAGGAAAAATCTTTTTCGACAAACGAGAGATTCGGTGTGCAACAGGTGAAGTGGTGATTGCCCTTTGGATAAAATTGTATAACGCTTATCAATAAAGGAGGAACGTAGTGCCCACAACGGAGAATAGAACAAAAACCTGCTTGTGCAATTGAGGCCGAACGATAGCTGCGACGACTTTACTGTTATTGTTCTAGAATGGAGATAGTAGATAAGGGACATTTAATTGTGTATTTTTAGACCCCTAATCGGATACTATAGTTGTACGTCCATTCTAAACGTTCCCCGTATACGCTCTCTGGATAGAAGAACACAAGGGGGCAGATTGCGCGCCTTAGCAATGTAAGTCAAGGTTCTAGGAAAAGCAATGCATAGTTGAAATGGAATAGTTTCGGCCAGAAGCAATTTCATCATATGTGATCGATTACGGTGCTGTTCAGTGAACGACAAGTTCTTTATATACACACAAATATTCATGAAACACTATCGTTTCACTATTTCGTTTGTTTATTCTCTAAGGAGAGTTTTTGTCTGTCTCATTGTTCAAAGCAGTTCTATCAGTTATTTCATCTGTAAAATCGACGCATATTCTATCTCAAAGTACTAGAAGAAGGGGTATTCTATTCTAGCAAAAAAAGCTTAGTTACAGTAATCTGATGAATGTAACGTCACAGGTACCTCGCTCTCGTGCAAGAATATTTTTGTCTTTTTTCTTATTGTTTTTAGAAAGCTCATAGTAGTCAACGCAGGTTGAAGCAAGGAACGAGATGAAAAAGCATTTCGATGAACAGACGCAAAAAAAAATAAAGTTCTCTTGAATCGTTCGTTGCTTGTATAATAAAAACAAATGTTAATCATTGACACATTATGGCCAACACTTCGAGTTGACCCTGTTGTCTACGAAACTGTAGTAATTCGTAAAAGACTATTAAAGTTACGTGAACGGATTGACTAGGTCGTGACAAACAGATTCGAAGTGTTTGCTTACGTTTGGAAAGTTCTATGTATATTCGAATATTTTTCAACATTCGATATTTTATACACCACAAATTAATTCAAATCGTCTTTCAAAACTTTTGACTGTAGAGGAAAAAGCTCGAAAAAAAAATAGTTCTGCGTTACCTCTCGCTAATGCATTGTTCCCCCTAGGTAAGACCCCCTAGGTAGGTCTGTTCAAAGAGCTACAGGCCTAACAGCAACATCTACGGCAGGTAAAATTTTACAAAACGAAGTTGTTGACGGGCAGCTTTGTCATATACTGTTCCCGCTCTAAAAAAAGACCGTGCTCCTCTTGCATGGCTCCTTCGACAGAATATACCCTGCATTCCTCTCGAATTATTGCCGTGATAATGGACTGCCATGATCCGAAAGAAGCGTCATGGATTAAGGAGGAACCAACTTGATAGTGTCGGATAGTGTGGGACTCTGCTGCTGTTGTTGATGATTTCCTTTTCAATCCAAACAGAAAATTTTGCTAGGCAACAACGCGTCGACTACGAACAGTACAACAGGAAATGCTACCCGAAAATACGTATTTAACCGAAGTATGCTTTTTTCAGCCCTGTGTGTTCAGCACTTTATTATTATAAGATGAAAGCACTAATTTTATTACATACTCACTGGTTTCTTTTCAGAGAGATACTTATTACCAGACATTGTTGTGCTGTTTGATTTAAAAAGAAACACATGAGCATATTCTATGGTGTTATGAGATGAAAACTGTGTTTGATAATTAAAGCGTTATGTTCAATACTACGAGTCAAGCTTCATCAATACTATAGTAACTACTAAATAGAAACTAATTTATGTTGATGGAAATTGACATTGGGAAGCCCACTAGTATTGATAAAAAAGAGTTAATTTTCTATCATTATTTTGCCTACCGAGCCCCAAATACGCGTTGACACTTATTTGTTTTTTATGTTTGAGACATTTATCACCACCAGTACGGTTCTTCTGTTTTTCTCCGCACGTCTTATACAATATATACATTTCCACTTACAAAACTCGAGATACCATTTCCCTGAAATGTATCTTTTATTAAGTAAAAAGTTTATACGTTGTCAGTAGGCCGGCATTTACCAACATACAAGTACTTTCTTGGACAAGCACAGTTTAGGTTATGGCAGTGAGTGGGCTTTTTCGCCCACTTATTTGAGCTTAAGTCTCATGGTAAAGTTTGTCCGTAGACACACGTTTTATTGCTCTACAAGAACGAAGTCATCACCTGCAAGTTCTGTTTACACCACGCCATAGAAATGTATCTCAGATATGAGCTAAACACCCATAAGGCAATTCAAAGCTAAAGCCTAACGCATATATTATAGTTTTCACGGGGAGGCCATATTTTTGTGTAGATAAATAAAGCTGAATTGCAATTGGAGCAAACAACACAAATAACCAGCTTTTTATCGGTTGTTACTCATGTTCACGATCAATTGGGATCTGTTTGTTCTGAAGTTACTTACGGAGAGGGTATTATGGCAGTACAGCTTGTATTTTCAGAACGGAAGTAGCTCTTCTATTCATCCTTTTTGCCCCTTTTTTTTTTACGAAGAGGATGAATTTTAGCGCCGACCTAGTTTCTAAGAGGCGGCAGTCGGGCAATTTTTTTTTTAATGAAAACGGATATTCTGTTGCTACTACGTCACGTATTACACTTTTTAATCGCATTACCGCCATAATTATGATTTTTAGACACCTCCTTAACGAGTCTCACCCGCATATGCGAGCGTAGTAGGGATGTTCGTACGGAGAAACAATTATGCCAGCATGGGAACTGGGCTGCACGGCCAGCGTAATGTCCAAATGGCCCAATGGTCTGACAGAATTCCGGCCTGAGCTATTTACAATCGATACTGATTAAAATTTAAATAATATACCTTCTCAGCAAATGGAAAACAGCGTTAAAATAGACTAAAAATGCCTGTGCTATTCACGCAGTCAAGAAAGCTTCGTGACTAATGAAGAAGCGAATGATGTTTCCGGTTGTTCTAATGTTGTCTTTATCTCGACTGATTGTGATATGCAAACGAGATTACCCCCAGAAGAGGGTTTTTGCAGACGGTAAAGGACAACGATGAAGTCCGACCCTGAGTGCTAAGAAAGTACATTCTACATGCTTGTCCCTTATTGACTGAACTTTGCCATTAATTGCACTAAAAATGGACAGAAAAACCGAGAGTGAGGTGAAATGTTTGCCAATACAATCTAATTGAGTGAGGTACTTGATCGGTTATTTCCCATTATCACATCATTACTTTTTGATAAGAAAGGGAAGACTGAGTCGGTATTGAAGTTTGGCGTGCTAATCGGTATGTCGATGGTCATCATGTGATAGCAGGTCACTTCTGAAAGCTAACAGGAGATTAACTGATGCATCATGAAAGACCTTTTTCGCAATTTGAGTTAACGATACGGCATATAGTGAATATAGGAACGGTACCGTTGCAGACGTATCGTCGTGCTCGGCTGAATACGGTATTCAATGTAACACAGAATTTTCGACAGCATGACCGCATGCATTATAATATCATTTATTTACTCGCCTGCATGTAGAATAATAATACACACACATAATAGTACGCTATACTCAAGATGCTAGGAGCAGTGCTTCCTTTCAAAACAATCACTACGGCTTTTCGAATCTTCAACCGTCGCATAAATTTGTGCATACGCATACGTTTTTTTTTAAGCATACACATACGACTGGGCTTATCATACGCCTCTATACATTAAATGAAGCACGAACAAGTCGGAAAATTGCACGCAGGTGCAGTGAATATATCTTAAATATACTTCTGAAAGAAATTCACATATACCATCATGAGAGAGAAACAATCGATTCTCAAGAGAACGTAATGGGAAAACGTTCAGTTCTACCCTTAATCTATACGTGTCTCCGCATTTAATCCGTTACCCAAAAACTGAGTTGACCAGAATCCCGTAAGATTTCGTGTCAATACGATGGTAGACTACTTACTTTGCTATTGACGAAATTCGCTATCGGAAAGAAGAGGGTAACGTCTACTAGTACTGCACTCTTTCTGACATTGCTAGAGACTACTCAAGGTCCCGTTGTTTATATTTTTTAGATGTATAAAGTGAGCACTGGACAGACTATCTTAGTCTCTGATTTAATAGGCCATTTTGAATTGCCAACCTTTCGGTATCTGCAACGAGATAATTCAGGATGCGTACATTTCCCATACGCATTCCTTTCAGCCATTTGAACGTAACTGATACGTAATGTAGATTTAACTATCGATCAAACGTAATATAACAGACCAATAACGGATACTTGCTCGTATCCGTTATTGCTCGGATAAAAAAACAAGTACGTTATGTAGATATGTAAGAGATATCTAACCTTCGGAAACCGCTAAGCGTTACCACACTGTTCTTGCTTAACGTCCGTCAAAAAAAATTGTCCGCCGTGCGTGTTCATTTCGTTTGTCACGTTATATTATCTCAACATATTCTGATGAGATTCGCGCATTTAACGGAACGTTTCAGCTATGGCCAAACAGAAAGCGAATAAACGTACTTATTCTCTCCGAGATTTTTCTATTTTTCCAACGCGAGAATTTTGCTATACGACAAACGGCCGAAACAGTCATGATGCGCTCGTTAAAAGGTCCATCTGAATTTCACAGTTAGAATATCATAATTTTCTTTTTTTCGAGCCAGCTATTATCCCTTCCCGTCTGATATTCCAATAAAAATTCGTTATAGACTCGCATAACAATCAGCGCCACAGCCGGCAAAAAAAAACCGTTACGTTGCATTCAAACTAGCGAATACTCGTTCCATGTAGAGATCTTCGAAAAATGGCAAGAGCGAAGACCGGCGGCCAATCCATATCGAATGCCGACTAGATATGGGGCAATCCATTACCGCTGTGCACTTCTTCCGACGACGCATGTATAGACTTCTGAACTTTGACCCGCGTGTACACTTGAATTCCTTCCTTTAGAGTCAAGCATGCGTCCTCACTTTACGGAAGACCCTTCAGGTAAAAACACGATTCCAGCCGAATGCGAGATTACTTTTTTGGAACACAGAACACGCATCGCTATGGCTTAAGCTGGAGAGTAGTTATCATTGCTCCGATTGCTTTCAACCGAGTGTCGCAGATGCTGCTCCACACGCGACGAAACACGCGACCATTTTTTACGTCCACATACGCTGTTATCCTACATAGACATATCTTCGTGTTTCGAGCCCTCTATAACTAATTCATCGTTTATCGAGTCTGTATTATAAGAACCTGTGTATACAACGAAATTTTAGTTAATTTGTCTCAAATAGCTTTGTACCTTTTTCTACGTAGTGTTGCATTC